AGCCTGGAGCTCAGTGGCCATGAGCCAGAACCATTAGAAGTGAGAAGCTGCCTTCAGGGTGGGGATGTGGCTCTGCTATTACCTTGATCTTGGACTGGAGGCAATACATTTCTGTTGTTTCAGCCATTCTCTTTGTGGTCCTCTGTTAGGACAGTTCTAGCAAACTAACGCAGCCACTGTCAACCTGCATTTGTAAAGATGCCCCTGAATGGTATCTAAGACTGACCAGACTGAGATTCACTGCAGCAGGGGCTGTGGTCACCACTGTCTTGCTGGGCACAGCACAGAGCCTAGCCAAAGCAGGAGCTTGTCAAGACTTGGTAAACTGAGTGTTTTTAAATAACTTGACACATTTTTATGCACGCGCACCCATATATCACCTCCCAAAGGCTCCATTTCTAAACACCAGGGTGGATTAAGTTTGTACTCTCTTAATACCTCACAGTGGGGATCAAATTTCAACACACAAACCCCTACGGGACACACTCAGGCCATATCCAAACCATGAGTATCCCAGTCATATCCCAATGTCATTACTACCCAGATCAAGATACAGAACATTTCCAGCTCCCCAGATGTTCCTTCTGTGGCCCCCGCAGGGTAAGCACTCATCTTGACTTGTATCCCCAACCATTGGTTTTGCCTCTTCTCTAACTTCCTGAAAATGGAATGATACACTAGACTCTTTTTACATCTGGTTTCTTCTTCCTGGCGTTGAGACTAGTGTTTCCTGCTAAACACAGCTATACCATGCTCTTTCTGTTGATACACATGCACACAAATATGCCACAGTTTATTTGCTAATTCTACCACTGATGGACATTTGGGTCACTTCTAATTTGAGGATTTTTAAAAATATTTATTTAGTTGTAGATGAACACAGTATCTTTATTTACTTTTCTGTGGTGCTGAGGATTGAACCCAGTGCCTCACACGTCCAAGGCAAGCACTTTACACCTGAGCTACAGCCTAGGCCCCCAATTTGGGGATCTTATAAAAAGGCTACTATCAACATTCTTGCATATGTCTTTTGTTAAACGTATGTCTTAATTTCTCGGAGCAGAATTTTTGGGTCATAGAGTAAGCATGTGTTTTACTTTAGTAGAAATTGCCAAATAGTTTTCTAAAGGGGTTGAACCAATTTACACTGCCCCACCCCCACCCCAGTAATACATGAGTATCCCACTTCCTCCACATCTCGATGTTGTCTTCTTTGGGGTTTCAGCCATTCTGTTAGGTGTGTAATGGCATCTCACTGTAGTTTTAATTTGCATTGCCATGACAGGTAAGATTAACGAGAGCCTCTGCATCTACCTATGGTTCATTGGTGCTTGCTTGAGTCTTTTGTCCATTTTTAAATATTAGGCCATTTATCTTTTTCTTATTGATTTGAGTTTCTTTATATGTTCTGGATAGGAGTCTTTTCATAAAGTCTTATCTCACCAAAAATTTTACATACACACTCACACCAATGATCACTTCAAATAGCTAATGTCAGGCTGGGGGTGTAGCTCAGCGGTGGAGCACTTGCCTAGCATGTGCAAGACCCTGGGTGAGATCCCAGTAACTGCCAACAAATAAACAAACAAACAAACAACAATAGACAGAAGAAAAGTTAGTTGTTTTGGCCCTTTTAATGAAATAGAAGCAAGTTTTTAATTTTAGAAAATGACCCCAGATGACAATAATACATGAGACAGTTATTTCATATGTGTAGAGTGGGGCTGGGCTCAGAAGACGCAGCCTGATTTTCTCAAGCTTGAGCAGAGCATTGGATCTGGCCTGGATTCCACAACAGCCTTCAGGTCAGTTTGGTTGAGTGGGATGACATCGCCGAGGCTCACTGTTTCTTCTTCCCCCCAAATGGCCTAACAGTGAATCTGCATCAGCCTGTGACCAGAGTTTGGGGAAGCACCAGAGACGCTGGGAGAAGCAGGCCCATCTGGCTGGTTTCCAGCACTGGACTCCCACACTCAGCTGGATACTCACTGTTTACCATGCCTCTGCCATGTAGCAGGCTTGGGGACCCACAGATGGTTAGCACACCAGCCTCATCCTGAGGGAGCCTCAGTCGAGGAGAAGAGTTAGATAATGGAGCAAAGAACCTCAACATGAAGTGCTAAGTGCAGCAAGAGGCAGCATTGGCCAGGATGCTACCAGAGGGTGGCTGGGAGCTTCCAACTCTGCCTGGAGGTTCCCAGCTCTAGATGGGTCCCAGGGATACCTCCACAGTGGAGCTGATGTCATCTGACCTGTGCCTTGATGGATGAGCAGGCAGAGGGTGGCAAGAAGGTCATCCCAGGCAGGGGGCTCGATGCAGGGCTTCCCAGGGAGCGACAGCCTTATAGCTGGAGTGTAGGGTGTGTTAGGGGACAGGGCAGGAGAGTGAGGGTAGCCCTAGGGGTGGCCCCATGTACAAAGAACCGAGCCTTCCCTTCCCCAGCTTCCAGGGGGTCCTGGTGCCTGGAATTGTGGGTCCAGGACTTTCCATGCACAGGAATCTGTTTCTGCTCCTTGCCCATAAGGACAACTGTCTACAGAGCGGGCTGCCTGGCCTCTAGTGGGCAATCTGTCCCCTTCCCTTACCTGAGACTCCTTCTCTAACAAAGAGTGACCTCCGGTTCCATATTGCTTTTCTTCTGGAATTGGGATCTGGATGGGCAGGAGATGAAGGAAAATGGTTTCCCTCCTGCCCAGATTTCTGGGCCTGGTGGGGAAAAGCCAGGCAGGAGGTCTTACAGTAAGGGTGCCATGACCAGAGTTGGGTCATATCTTATTGGGGTCCAGCCCACCCAGGCCCTGGGGCTGCTCTGAAGGGCATACCTGAGGGCCTGAGCTTGCTTGAGAAAACCTCTGGCCTTGGTGACTTCCTGAGCCAGTTTCCTTAAGTCATCGCCTTCAAACGGTGGCAAGGTAGGATCCTTGGAAAGGAGAAATGAGTGTGAAGTTTGATCCACTGAAATGACTAGATGGGACCTGAAGACACAAAATCTCAGCAGATGTTTAGAGCAAATGAAATGCAGCCTCCGCCCCGGGCAGGAAATCCTGTGGGCCTCAGCTTGTATGTCTCCCAGGACAGGAAGCTCACTGTCTACCAGGACAGTCATTCTGCTACATGGGACACCTTGAAATAAGATGTCTGAGAGGTGGGGGGCGGGGGGTAAGCCAAGGAGGTTTCTGAACCTCAGTGAGGTGCTTTTCTGGACCCAGGGGACAGAATGGGTATATAGTGTTTGTCTCACTGATGATCATCCAGTAAAATTTCTTTGGCTCTCTCCCCATTTCTCCTCGTAAAACAGAGCTTCACAGCCATGCTTTAAAAAATGGTAGTAACTGAAATTCCAGAGAGCCTAGCCCTAAAACACAGTGTCTCACAATTAACAAGGTCTAAGAGAGACACAAAGCTGTCCCCTTGCCTGGCAGTAGTGGCAGAGGACTCTCTGAGCAGAAATTATTCACTGAGAACCTGCTCGATCCTGTCAATCATTTTCCTATGTGACATAGACCCCTGGGTGAATATTCATTACTTTCACCAACTTGTCCTGTCCTGGGTATTATTTGTCATATCTGCCCCTAGGAGAATCACCTGAACGAAGGACTCATGTGAGGTCACCCAAACTTTGGAAATTATGTAGTGTTCTGGGAAAGTAACCTTTAATCTCTAAAAAGAGATTTTAACTTCTGATTGGTGGTTTTACTTAATTTCCACCCCCTCTCCCTCACCCTCTGCCGAAAGGTTATTGGCAACAACACCACGTTCCTTAAAAGATTTAGATAAGTTTGCCACTTTTCTATCAAATTGGAAGAGGACTACTGAAACTCAACTCAGTAATTTGTCACTTAGTAGATAATCTATGACTTCACTAGATCTCTTGCTGAACAGCTGTCTGTGTTTCAATGAACTGTGCACCAGAAGACAGAGCCACAGGAATTAAACACAGAGGCTGAGAGCAAGGTGTCTTGGGCTCCAACTTCACCCCTTCCTCCGATTTCCTCTGACGAGCTGACTGAGCCTGTTGGTTCATATAGGTGGGTGTAACAGTAGTTTGGGGCTCATCTAAGTGGGTATTAATATTAAGTAATTAATATAATTAATAGAGATAAGCTATAGAAAGCAATATACCTGCACATAGTAAGTGCTCAGCAAACGTAAACTGACTTATTCCTAATAACTCCCCCCACAGCCTGCTTCTCTCCCAGCCTTGAGGGGTGTCTGCTTAAAAGGCGAACTGCAGGGAAACACAACCCCTTCAAGTCAACCTTTTGCCTTGCAAGGGAAGCAGAGATCTGAGAAGGAAACTTTGTGGGCCCACGGACATCTTACCGGGCTGTTGAAACAGACCTTGCACTTGGCACTTTACCTTTTCATTTACGAAGCCTCTGGTGAGCAGGCCGCGGATCCCACAGAGGGTGTCCTCACTAACGGGGCAGTGATAGCGTCCCCCAGTGAGGGCAGCCAGCTTCCTCAGGAACCCCACCGCTGCTCTAGGGAAGGAAGAGAGGCCTGGGGGCTGGCAGAGGTTGGGGAGGCCTGCTGAGGCCCACGGAGAGCGCAAGTCTGTGTGTGGCTTGGGGGAAGCTGCCTGGCAGCAGGCCTGGACTGTGCCTCTGGGACCACCGTGAGCCTCACCAAGTACAGTTTCCCAACCAGTGGCCACTTGTCACCACTGAGCCTGGCCTCCCTCAAAGCCCACGGCCAGCACGCTCTTTACTGGACATCTCTCCAGTGTGTGGCAGGCCATAGATCCCATGGCTTAGGCACAGAGGGGAGATCTAAGGGAGCCCCCAGAGTAGGCGAGGAGTTCAGAACTCCTCCCTCCAACATGAAGCCCCGGGAGAGCAGCCAGCTCAGCCCAGGCCTCGCTGCCCACCTGTCTGTGCAGTTCAAGGAAATGGTGTGCACCTTCACGTCTCTCTCCTTCTGGAGTCTGTAGACAGCATTCAGAACAAAATTGCAGCTTGTGTCTGGCTTCCCGTCGGTAAGGAGGTACAATCCTTGCACATCTTGAAAACTGAATGCTTTCTGACAGACCACAGAAAGGCTGTCACCAGAAAAGACAAAAAACACTTGCCTGACAGTGGCCTCTGCTGCTCCCAAGGAAAATGTGTCTGATGGATGCCCATGACATGTCCATTAAAACCGAGACCCTCCCCCCGCCTTCAGCCTCAGACAGACCCAGGAAGCTGCTGAGGTTTAGGAGGAAGGGCACAGCCCACTTCCTAGCTGGTTGACCTCAAGCATGTCACTTAACCTCTCTGAACCTCTGTGTCTTCATCTCAAAGCCAGAACAAGATCTCCTTCTGTCTGAGTTGTTGGGAAGATAAAATAGAGTGCCGCTTTGTAAACCCCAAAGCAAAGCACAATATCAGTGTAGTGGGTGATGGAGTTTCTGTTTTGCCACAGGGTCAGGGTCCAGGGTGGCACTTGCCATCAATGCTTGCAAGACCGAGGTACTCCCGTGAGCTTGCAGGTGGGTCACCCACTGCATAGCCTTGTGACATGCAGCATCTGTGGTCTCCACCAGAGTGTCCTGCCATGGCTGTAGGCCCTCTGCAAAACTGAGCAGGTTGAAACTGAGGAGGAGAAAAGAAGAGATGGAGACCAGAGAGAGGAGAGAGAGATGCGTGAGCACAGGCCAGTCCATGCGGAGTTCCAGGGAAGTCACCTCCAATGCGAGGTGTTCACTGAAGACCCCTACAAATGGGCTGTGGGCTCCCTGAGAATGATTGTCCATAGACTGAAGATTCTAGATGAAGATAGGAATTGTTTTAAATCCCAGCTCAGTCACCCAAGGGTTGCAATCTTGGGCAAACTACTTAAACTCTCTGAGTCCTAGTTTCCTTTTCTTACAATGACCTTTGTGTAAGGTCATTGTGAGAACTGACAAAATCATGAACTTAAAGTACCTGGCCCACACACACACAAAAAAAGTGATTGATGAATGTTTACTCTTATTAATAGTAAGGCATGAATGAGTTCCAGCCTAGGACCAGAGTCTCTTACTGTCCCTTCAAGGTCAACTCTTCTGGGCAGAGAGAACAAACAATTCCTCACACTTAAAAATAGAGTTCAAGGTCTGGGAGGGTAGCTCAGTGGTAGAGTGCTTGCCTAGCAAGAACGAGGCCCTGGGTTCAATCCCTAAAACCACAAAGGAAAAAAAAAATCAAGTTCAGCTGAAAATCATAGTTCAAGGCCACATGATGGTGATTTTGACTATGCTTGCCACTGTCCTGGGCCTGAGATGCGATCCTAAAAGTTGCTTTCTTTCTGCAGCAGAACAGAATAGTACTCTTTCCTGTCTGGTAAGCTACTTAGAAAGACCTTCTGGAACCTCCAGGACTGTTGGAACTGAGGAGGGTGTGTGGGTAGGCAGGGAGGCCCTAGGAACCCCCCTTTCACCTTCCAGAGCCCTTGCCACCCACAGTCCTGCTTCCCACCTGACACAGTGCTTCCGCAGCTGCTCCCAAATCAGGAGAATCAGCTCTGTCTTCATCTGCTGCAGGTAGGGGCCCATGGACCCCGACGTGTCCAGCAGGACACACACTTTGCTCTCCAAGATGGTGCCAAACAGCCAGCGGCTTCCTGCCCAGAGATGAGTGGGGCTCAGGCAGGGAAGGACTGAGGGGGGGTTGTCTCACCTCCTGGGTGGTTTTTCTCACTCTGTCAATCAAGTGAAAGTCCTGCAAAACCATTGCCTGCCTGATAAGTGGTCTCAAGTCCCTCCATTGGGAGATGACCTTGTGGTGTTATTGGCTGGGTCAGAGCCATCTGTTCAAGCACAGAGCCAGTCTGTGATCTGGGCTTTGGAAGATCAAGATTTCAGCTCTGGCTTTGCCTGTGATAACTCATCAAAATGATCATAATGTCCCAGAGCTTATTCCACATCCCTAAAATTATGAGATTGGGTAAAATAGTGTCACAGTATTGTCTGGGGCTGGAAAAGATGCTGGAGACCACGTGGCCATTCAATTGGTCAATAGAAAAAAAACCCAGCACAGTGCAAAGTTGACAAGAGAGGGACCATGCCCTCGTGGAGCTTACAGTCAGTGAAGGAAGACAGATGTTGAGCAATTACAACCCTGTTGTGACAGAGGACTGTCAGGGGAGCATGTCATAGAAAGAACTGAAATCAGGTGGAGTAGGGTAGGGAGCAGAGAATGTGCAGCAGTTGACCATGGAGGGTGTGGACCCTGACAGGCCGAGAGAGAAGGCTGTGGAAGGCCCAGGGATAGAGAGACGGGCAGGGCATGCGCGAGCATCTGAGGAGCAGAAAGCCAAAACCAGGAGCAAAGCAAGGTGGGATGGAGACACCTCTGGGGAGGGGGACGAGAGAGAGAGCAGAGAGGTTGTCCAGGGGTTTGGGTTCAGCCCAATGGGAACCAAGGCCCAGGATCACCCAGCCCGCTGCGGCTGAGCCGGTTTCATCTCCTCTTGTCTACACTTCAACCTCTAACCCTAGCCCTTGCGTCTCCACAAGGCTAAATGGAGGGGACACAAGGGGACCCAACAAGCAGACAAGGTGCCCAGCATTCTCAAACATGCCTCTGGGACCTCACTGGAGCCGCAGGAGAAACTGACAAACTGCTACAAAATAGACCAGCTGTTCTCCAGGAAAAGGTGGACAGGGCGGCTGGACCTGGTGCCCTGGAGCCTTCAGGACTCATCTGGATGTTCTCTGGCAATGCTCATGTCAGAGGGAGAAGAGGGGAGAAGGGGGTGCCTTGAGGACATCGAGTCAGTTGGTCAACCCATGAGGGACCTCCCCCCACAAATGGCCGGCTAATCCCCTTAGGAACCAGAGAGTGGAAGCAGCTCAAGCTACCAAGCCATTCTGTCTTTACCCCATGGGTCTATCTAACCCTGGCTCCTTGTCCATCTCCACTACCATTACCCTTCGCCAGCTACCTTAATTTCTACCTGGGCTACAGCTAGGTCGTCCTCATTCTATTCTATTCCCTCAAGAATTTTGTAAACTGAGGGTAGTGGCGTGTGCCTGTAATCCCAGAGGCTTGGGAGACTGAGACTGGAGGATCACAAGTTCAAAGCTAGCCTCAGACCTGTCTCAAAATAAAAAATAAAAAGGGCTACAGATGTGGCTCCGTGGTTGAGGGCCCCTGGGTTCAATCCTTGGTACCACCCCCAACAAAAAAAAATTAATTTTACAGCAACCAGAGGGAATATTGCAAATGCTGATCACTTTTCCTTCATTTAAAATCTTTTAATGGCTTCCCATTGCTCTTAATAATTGACACACACTGTGCCATAGCTGGGTCTCTGTTGGATGGCATCCCCTGGATCTCACCCAGCCATGCTGACTTCTTTCCTTCAGTCTCTGTACTGAGCATCTTCTCTCCTGCCCAGCACCTTTGTGTTTTCCTTTCTTGCCCACTTAACCTGTGAGATCTCAGCTATATACCCCCTCCTTGGGGAAGCCTCCTTTGACCTTCCTATGCAGGCCAAATTCCCTTCTCTTCTTACACCTGTCACAGTTGTGACTTGTTTGTGGTTCTTTGATGAACATCTGTCTCCTCCTACAGGCTATATAAGTTCAGGAATCACTTTGGGATTTGCCTTCTACCCACTCCCCAGCACCTAGCAGGAGAAAAACTTATTGGTTGAATGAATGAATGAAGCACCCACTGCCTGGCAGGTACTGCAGTGTGAGTGTTCAGGTGTGCACCTGTGCATGAGGCAGGGGTGTGTGCTATAGAAGAAGTCGCTGACTCTGGTCTGCACATGCACCCCAGTGGTCACTGTGAGGTGGGAATGGGAGAGGCCCACTCCCTCTGCTCCACCCCAGCCTTTGCCCTGAAGTGATAACTGGACCCTGTGCTCCCCCCAGCTATTCCCTCACACTCTCATCGCCCTCTAATAAAACAGTGTGTTCCATTGTGATCAACAATTCCCAAACATCTGTCAAGCATACAGTTTTGTTTGTTTAAAATCTTGTTTCCTTTTGTAAAACTGCTAGGATCATGATTCTGTAGAGGAGTGGGAGTGCTGGGGGAGAATTTTCCGGCAAATGCAGTAACTGTAAAGTCACTGCCACATTGCTGCTGAGGGACTGTCTAGAGGAGGTTCTGCTGCAGGGGATTGGACCTAATGAATTTACATGGGGTCCCACGTGGACCACACAGGCTGCCTGTAGGATCTCTACATAGGTCTCAGTTCTTCTATTATTTCTTCTAGGTCCCTCCAGGCCCTAAAGCCTAAATCCCCTCCTGTCTGGTTCTAGCTGCCTACTCAGCCTCCTGCCCTTGATGCTTGGTGTGGTTTCTTTCTTCCCAGCTGGCCCTCCTCTGGGACGTGAGCCTGGCTCTTTGGCTTTGGTGTTCTGGGGCTCTATGGCCTGTCCTCTGCCCTGATGCCATCTAGCACTTTGTCTGATCTCTGAGCCCAGAACTCATGCCGTACCTGAATGACCCTCCTGGCTTAATCCCTTGACCTGACAGTTGGTGAGGGCCTTGGAAAGACAGATCCTGCAGTCCCTGGAGTGAACCTTCCACCTCCCTTCATGCCCCTCCACCCCCCAGGAAGGGGCCAGGCTCACCGGACAGCAGCCACTGCAGCCTCTGGACGTAGCACCTCATCACCTTCTCTAAGCATGAGATGTATGCTTCCATCTCTCTGTGCGTCCACTGAATGTGCTTCACCACTCCCTGGATTAAGGTAAACAGAGGAGATACCCACCCCACCAGCTACCCTCATCACCCCCTAAAACAGTGTGTTCCGTTGTGATCAACAATTCCCAAAACATCTGTCAAGCATACAGTTTTGTTTGTCTAAAATCTTGTTTCCTTCTGTTAAACTACTGGATTTCTGGTTCTACAGAGGAGTGGGGGGATTAAGATAATGGTTTCATGCAGTTATTATAATAATAGTGGGGTGAGAAGTCCATCAACTTCAAACTGAAGGATGACCTTGAAGAGAGAGGGAGCGGTACTCTGGGACAACCCTGAATTTTTCCAGTGGATAATTTCAAATTTTGAGGTTATTTTTAGTTCCCTCGAAAATGTGGTAGAAAAGGGCTGGGAGGGAAATGATTAGATTTTCATTTTGTACTAAATTTATTTGTTCCACTGTCAAAGCAATGGGAAAACTCTTCCCCCAAAGAGAAAACAGAGATGAGAACCCCTTGCCTCTTGTCATAAGCCCTGTGTGCTGCCACCTAGCAGAGCCAGCAGCAGCAGGGGGGTACCACATTGGTTTGGTGAGTACTCCAGCCACAGCCTTATGCTCTTGTCTTTTTTTGTTTTGTTTTTGGTACCGGGGATTGAACTAAGGGGCACTCGACTGCTGAGTCATATCCCCAGGCTTATTTTTTATTTTATTTAGAGACAGGGTCTCACTGAGTTGCTTAGTGCCTCGCTTTTGCTGAGGCTGGCTTTGAACTCGTGATCCTCCTGCCTCAGCCTCCCCAGCAGCTGGGATTACAAGGCATGTGCCACAGCACCTGGGATTCTTGTTTTTAATTCTCTCTCTCTATCCTAGAGTGTCATCTCAGACCTGCTGGAGGCTTGACTTTTCTTCCAACAGGACTCTGTATCTCCTATCGGTTGAGGGCAGTGCCTCTTTGTGGGGAGGGGCTCTTAGAAGCAGGAATAGAAGCCAGGTGCCCTGATCTACCATTTGCACCTGAGAAGAGGCAAGGAGTTGTGGGAGGAAAGCCAACAACCAAAAAAACTCGGCCTTACATTGATCTCTATGCTGGGGAGGACACTGCAGTGTTTGGCCGATGTTGATCTCTGCATGAACTTCTGTTGGGTACAGTGGGGACCCATGTACCTGGAGAGCTCCATCTTCAGTTTTCTCAGTCCATAATTTGCTATCCACTTTAGAATAAAGGAAAGAACTATTGTCTAGGCAATTCGGGATAACTGAGTGATTGTCCAACTCATCTGTTAAAACCTCATGTTTGAAATCTGTTTCATATTGGAAAAGTGGGGTTCCCAGGTCCTCATGGATTATCCTTCATATGCAAACTCTTTCCCCATTTCTAGGGGAAAGAGATGCACAAAAAAATGGGGAACAAGAAACTAAATTTATTGAGCACCTAATTCATCTTTCATCTAGTAGACTTGGTTGCTTCCCCAACATCCATATTCAACACTCCATCACAAAATTTGAATGGAAAGCTCTAATTGGCCTAAAGTTCAGACTCTAAACCAATTAGGATAATCTCTGTTTTCTTGTCACAATGAGAGGTGCCAGAATGGGCAGGTTCAAAGCAATCAGAGCATGGCATCCAGGATCAGCCCAATCAGAACAAAGCTCCGACTTTTGTTGAATGGTTGTGGGAAGAAAGCTGTTCTATCTCCTGGATATGAACAGGAAGGGGGATTTCTGTTGCTTGCAACCAAAAGGATCCTACTCTAATAAGTACTTTGATTCACATGAAATACACTTTAGTCAATCCTCACATCAGTCTTATTAGACAGATGCAATTGTGTTCATTTGCAAACATAGCCATTGAATGCATTGGATGACTTCCCCCAAGGTCACCTAACTAGGAAGCAACAGATCCAGATTTTTAAATTAGCTATATTTAGCCTATATCCCATTTGCCACAGTAAGGAGTCATTCTTAGTTTGCCATCTTTTCTAAGTTTGCCCACTCTCCTGGAAGGAATGGTTGCTGGAAGAAATTGTCTAGAGGGCATGTCCTGGTCTAGACAACGTCATACCTCTTGGCTCGAGCAAACTGTATCCTTTCTGGGCAACTCAATAGATGAGTTGATGGTTTTCATAGCCCTTCTTTGAGGGTACTTCTTGTACATCGAGCCTAGGAGAAACAGAGCAAGTCACCTTGTGTACCTCTCTTCCCTCCTGCCCCCGCCTGTCCCTCTCTCATGTCAATTTCTCTGCCTGTCAGGTTGGTTATAAGTTTCCTTACTGCGATCTGCTGGAGAGATGGGAAGGGGGCTATTCAGTGGACTGGGGTAATGCTGCTCAGGACCTCCCTTCTCCTGGTCACAATGGATTACTACTCAGATGGGCACCATTTCACAGAAGTCCATCAGGCTGGCCTAGGGGAATCTTCTCCATCTCTTTCCCAATCAGCTTCAGAGCTAAGACAGTTGCCCCCTCAAACCCAAGAATCCGGGGAGAGCTCATCTTCAGTAATGACATATCTCATTCTCTGGGCAGTGCCAGGACTTGGCATATCTATTTCCTTGGGCAACAGACAGACCTGCTCCTGAGGCACCACAGAGCTAGCAGGTCCTAGGTAGCTGGAGGGGTCTCCTTCCCATGGGGCCTCCTGTGCCCTAACAGTTCCCATGGGGCCAGGGGGCTGTTCCAACACTTGTGTGGCCTCCGACTTACCCACGTTGTTCCTTGTCTCTGTATAGAATAGTGAGAGAGTGGGCTCTGATGCCCTGGACTTGGGCTTCCTCCTCCAGTCTGTCTCTTTTTTCATGGGCTGGGCTACGGTGAGAGGGCATTGGCTCGTTGGTTGGGGCAGCCTCGTGGGTTGCTGTGATAAAGCTATACAGCATGGTTTGGAGGCGTCTCACCTTCATCTATACCCTACACTTGGAAATGGGGCTCTGGGATGGCTCTGAGGTACCTCTTGTCCCCCCGCTAGGTCTCCTGTCTTCCCCTGGATTGATAATAGTTAAAGCCGGGGTCACTGAGTCCTGATATTCCCCAGGAATGGTGCTTAATGCTTTGTGGACCTGTGTCATTTCATCGTCACAGTCCCCCAGGGTACAGATGAGCTAAACAGGACACAGAGCTAGTAAGAAGTAGAGGAAAGATCCCAGCCTGGTCTCACTGACTCTAGAACCCTGCCCTAAGCTGCTCTGGTATACCTCTGACCTTGGAATTAAGACACTGTTTTAGGTTAATGAGCTGAGGGCTTTCATAAAAATAGTGATTAGCTGGCACAGTGTGAGCCCCTCTGTCAGTAAAATGAGTTGATAAAGAGACTACAGCATAGGACTGACTCTTACAGGCTTTGCATGGGGCCATCTTGGCAGATGGCGGGCACATGCTCAAGACTCACTAATCATTTAGTTACTATACACCCCCAGCCATGCCTCACCTGGGGAGATGCCCACTCTGCCACTGTGTGGATGCCATTTCAGCTCTTTTAAGGGAGAGATCTTCTCTCTATCCAGGTTATCTTTCATGTTCTAGAAAACAGGCCATCTTTCCCGTCACAGGCCTGTTCTCCGTGGCAGGCAGTATCCCAGTCACCCCAATCTCAATCTGTCAATCAGGAACTTTTGTAGGGAGGGGCATAAGGGAGTAGATCCTCAGATGTGTTTGGCTTATCTTCTGCAGCAGATTTAGAGGGGACTATGGGTTTTGGGGTCAAAAGGTATGTGAATGTGTGTGGCATGAGAGAAGGCCATAGAGCATGCTAGTAGGTCAACTATGGGGGGGTTTGCCAGAACTTTCTTCACCAGTTTCCTGACCCTCTTTCTATTAGACTGGGATTTGCGGGCTTTGAGCATGACAAATAACTATGCAGGTCCCTTCTTGCCCTCTGTGGCAAAAGTTCAACAAGTCACCCAGGGCTCTGAGCCAGCGAAGACCTCGGGGTAAGCTGCTATGCAGAGGGCCCAGATGCTGGCATTGTGGGCAATGCCCAGCCAGGGGTCGAGAGGGCCCGTTAAAGACCATGGCATGGCCTAGCCTCCTTGCACCTGATCGGCTCATGTACCGCTGAAGGGCCAAGAGGAAGACCCTGGGATTCTGGGGTCACCTCCAGAATTTGGGAAGGTAGGAGAGACAGAGGGTGACAGGTCTGGGCTGGCTCCCCAAACCTGGTGGAGTCCTTCGAGTGATGCAGCACCTGTGTGCCCAGAATCCCCTGGAAATGCAGCTGTCTGGCTGGCAATGAGCTCTATACTGTCCAGGATGGATTTCCTCATGCTGAAAATGTGCTGTTCCCAAGTCTGTCAGAGAGCAGCCGATGAGACCCCGAGAGTCACTGCTCCTTGGCTCATGGCACTGTTACATGGGGTGGGGGCAGGGTCTTCCTGCTAGAGGCCCCGTGACTGCTGGGGGTGCATTGTTCACAAGACACACTTGACAGGCTGTGAATGGGCTAGGGCCTTGGTGGGCACAGGCCCACCCTCAGCTCCTATCAGTCCTCTGGTAAGCCTTGGCTGTGGCAGGAAGATCCCCTGGAGACCTAACTCCCTTGCCCCTGAGAAACCCTCCCAGGATAAGCCATCAGATGTAAGGGTGGGTACCAGTTCCATAGCTAGGAAGCAGGGCCATGCAGAGCCAAAGGTGGCCCCAGAGCTGAGAAGCAGGACAGGGTGGGAGGCACCCATGGGACACCCACCCCTGAAGCCCTTACCCCCACCTGTGCTGGCCCCAGACGTCTTAAGATCTAGGAAAGACCAGGAGACAAACTGTAAACAAAATCCTTTGCATGTTATAAGGGCAGGGAGTCAAACCATTCTGGCCACCGAGGGGGCGGCTGCGGGCTCGGGAGTACTGAATTGCTTGGGTTGGCTTCTCTGCTTGAGCATCTCTGGCTTTTCTTTGGGGAGGGCTGCACTCTCCAGTTCTTTACCCGAATGGCTCTTCAGAGAGGCCACCAGTAAGGCACACTGCAATGGGAATCAGGTGGGTTAGCAGCACCCTGGCCACTGTGGACAGAGAGGCACAAACATACCCAGCAGGAGAGTCCCTGGAAACCCGCCCCCCGCTCCCCACCATGCCTCTTTCTGTCACTGAATGCTCTCTCGGGCTGAGGGTGCCGTGGATCAGTGTATTGACAATAATTAGTACCCCGTATGGAAGGACTGGGATGCACAAGACCCTGGGCAAGTTAATACCTGGGGAAATCTCAATCCCTCATGCCAATAGAGTGGGTGCTAACTTACCCCCATTTTATAGATGAGGAAAGCAAAGTTCTGTGAGCTTAAGGTTCTTATTTTTAGTACCAGGTTTTGAGCCCAGGGGCGCTTAACCACTGAGCCACATCCCCAGCCCTTTTAAAAGTATGAAAATTTGAAACAGGTTGTCATTAAGTTGCTGAGGGCCTCCCTAAGTTCCTGTAGCTGGCTTTGAACTCAGGATCCTTCTGCCTCAGCTTCCAAAGATGCTGGGATTACAGACGTGCACCACTGCATCTGTGAGCTTAAGGTTCTTATCTAAGGCCACACTGCTAGTAAGCAGAGGAGCTTCAACTCAAACCCAGGTTGGTCTGGGTCCCAAGCCAGGCTGCTTCCATGGTAAGACACTTGGGCATCAACAGGGTGGTCACCCTGTGCCCAGGACTGACTCCAGATGCTGGCAGAGCTGCTGTGTAATGCTTATTCCCTTTGCTTACAAATGCCTCACCTGCCAGACAGTTTCTCTAGTAGTGACTGCCATCAAAGCACTAAGGACACTATTCAGATATAAATAAACATGCCAAGGAAGGGTGGATTAAACCTCACTGTCCACTGGAGCCTGTGAATGAGTTTATTAGGTGTGGGAATGGGACTGCTGTGTACCCTGGGAGAAGGGGTTTACAGAGTGCCAGAGGGGACCCTCTCAGGGGAGACGACTAAAGCACAGCTCAGGAGCCACAGATCCAGGGCCATAGAGGAAAAGGACAGGGAGACTTGGCCCTGCCCTCCAGGAGTTAGTCTAGAAGGAACAAATAGCACTAATCAAAATGCGAGTCAGGATGAGTCTCCTTACACTCTTCCCTGGCCTTGACTGTGACCCATATAAGCTCTCTGTCCATCCCCATGGCTGGAATAACCCCAAATCTCTATCTCCAGCCCATTGGTTTGGCTACCTCCCTGTAGGATACCCCACTTGTTATCTCACCAGCCTCACAAACTCATCTTTGTCTGAGGCCACCTTCCATGGGCTCCTCCTATTTTCTCCCTCTCAGTCATGGCACCACCATGTTCTCCAGTGAGGAATTTGGGAGTTCCTCTGGATTTCTTCTTCCTCACCCTGCCCATTCCATCAGTTACGAGTGTGGCCGATGGTCCCTTAAATGTTCTCTGTTTCCTGATTCCTATTCTCATTGCTCCTGATGTGATCTGGCCTCTTCTGACCCCTCTTAATCTCACTGTATAGTGCTCCCCTCTGTGAGGAGGTCACATATTCAATATGAATGCTGAGTAGAAAAGAATAATCCACGGAAGATCTGGGAGGAGGACAAGGGACAGAGAAAGCAAAGTAAAAGCCCTGAGCTTAGAGATGGCTTCATGTGCTCAAGAAACTCAAAGAGGGCCAGAATGTACAATGTTCATCCTGAAAACCAATGAATTATAGGACACCCCCCCCTTCCCTCTGAAACCTTTGGTGTTAGTGGACCAGGACACTAATAAGGTCTGTTAAAGTCTCATCCCCTGGTACCTGTGAATGTGAACTTACTCAGAAATAGGGTAATTAAGATGTAGACTAAGATGAAGTCATATTGGAATAGGGTGGGCCCTTAATCTGGCTGGTGTCCCTATAAGAGAAGAGATAGGGACACACGGAGGGAAGACAGTCATGTGAAGATGGTGGCAGATTGGAGTTGTGCTTTCACAGCCAAGAAATGCCAGGGTAGCCAGTGACAAGGACTCCCTCCTTGACCAAACTTTAGCCAAGCTCCTTTGAACCATCTTCTGTACAAGGTCTCCACCTTGTAGAATTCTGCTGAGTTGGTTTGGCGTGAACTGCTCCACCCTTGACATCCAGTCTAGCTCTTTATCTCCCATGGTTGATATCTAAGCCCATGGCAGGCCCTTAGCAAGAATCCCCTGCCCCTGGTGTCTAATTAAGCTCCTCATGGTACTTTTCCAACTACTGACTCTGTTCTTTGCTTATAAATTCCCAGCCATCTTCGCTGTGCTCTAGAGTGGACCTCATTTCCTCTCCATCTTGCCCTTTGTGATAAGCATTCAACACTTTTTTTCTTTTTTGTAACCACTGGTCCCCATTAAAACTTGGAAGAAGTTTGGAAGGATTCCACCCAGAGCCTTCCCAGGGAGCATCACCTTCTGAAGACTTTAGTTTCCGGAAGACAGGGTGCTACCAATGGGGAAGGACAGCTGTCTCTGTTTTCAGATGCCTCATTTGTGGTGTTTCATTTCAGCAGCCCCAGGAAGTGACGACAGAAGCCAGTTCAGGCCTTTGGCCCCAACCCCAGGCTTACCTTTTGGGAGTAGTTGAAGACCTTTTGTATCTCAGCAGTGATGGCACTGATGTCGTCACTCTCATACACACCTGGAAACAAGCACTTTGTGAGCGCACTCACACACACACTCCATGGACTATCACCAACCGTCCTGTAGGTCACCTTCTGGAAGCATACCATGCTTTGAAAAAAGTTAATGTAAGAGAACTTTAGCGTGCCTTCTAGATCTGAGATTTTAAAATATTTTCAAGAGTTTTGTATTTACAAAAAAAAACTTTAAAAATTTTGTAGTCATATATACATAACATACAATTTGCCATTTAAAGATTTGGTGGGGTTTTTTGTTTTGTTTTGTTTTGTTTTTAACCCAGCCAGGGCCTTGGGCATGCAAGTCACTCATTCTAGGACTGAGCTACACTTTCGGCCTTAAGTGTCCAATGTGGTGTGGTGAAGTACATCCACGGTGCTGTGCACCTATTGCTACTACTCATTTCCAGAACAGTAGTTTTACATTTTTTTTCATGCTGGTGATTGAACCCTGGGCCTCAGGCATGCTCAGCATGCGCTCTACCACTGAGCTACACTCCCAGCCCCTCTGTTTTGTATTTTTAAACTATGATTTTCACGTGCCACTTTTCTGGAATATATCTATGGCATGCATCTATGGCTCCGACAGCCGTCTAGAAAGAGGCAGGCAGGAAGACCAGGCAGCCCTCACGCACCTGTGTCTCCAAACCAGTGGAAGCGACCACCCGCAGCCTGGGTGAGCTCCTTGTAGGCTGCCGCTGTGTCCCCGCGGCTGGCGTAGCAGGCAGGGGGCGTGGTGTCCATCCTTGGCTCACCCACGTAGAAGAGACACACGTTCAGCTGGAGGTCGAAGCCTCCGCAGGCCTCGGCCATGTAGGCGCTGAGAATGGACTGTGGGGACAAGAGAAGGCAGGAGGGACCCACAGCTGAGGGCCTGGAAGCTCCTGGTGGCCCCTGGGCTCAGCCCAGTGAGCTTTCTCAAGGGCCCATGGCCCGGCTGGTCTAGTGATGATCCCAGGTCACAATTTCCACCAAGTGTGGTCTGTTACCAGCAGCATGGACATGGGAGGGGGGGCACTTGTCAGAAATGCAGATTCTCAGGGACTGCTGAGCCCGGAGCTGCATTTTAACACCATCCCCAGGTGCTTTTCTGTGCCCTAAAGTTTGAGAAGCCTTTAGAAAATCAAGCTGGGACTGGGGCTGCAGCTTGGGCAGAGCGCTTGCCTAGCGTGGCCTGAGGCCCTGGGGTCAACCCCAGTCCTGCAACAAATGCAGAAATATAACGCAAGCCCAGGACAGGGCTACCCACCACATCCTGATCCGGGATGCCCCCTGTGAAGAGGTAGATGCCCTGCGATTGCTGTTTGCCTTTGTCCTTGAAGTCCACCTCCACGGCCTTCCGCAGGGCGCTGAGGACGTTCCTGCTGCCTTGGCACTTCAGGGCCAGGGCCCACCTGCAGAGGCAGGGAGGTGATGCCAAGGGAGGGCACCTGGGAGGCCCCCAGGTGGGGGACAGCAGACAGAAAGTGGCTTTCTGACTTCTGCCCAGGGTTGGTGGAAGGCAGGGACTCAAGAGAGCTACCCGCTGGTTGGGGGACGGGGAGAAGAAGGAACCGGCCTCAGACCAGGCAGCTTGACCCTCCCTGCCACCTACCACCAGGCGCTTTGCAAATTGGTGTGGCTTGGGGGAACCATCTCAGGCCTCCAACTCTCGATTGTGCTCCCAAACCTTTGAAGGAAGGAAAGAAGGCTTGTTCAGAGGCAGAGCGGATGTCCATCCTGTGGCCCAGCTTTTTGGGCCCCACAGGCTTCTATGGGGACAAAATTCAGACCATTCCCCAAACATTAGGGTACCGCTGGCCAGAGCCAGCCAAGAGACAGCCTTGCTGGTCATGACCCGTCCCAGGGAATTCCAGGTACAGTAGAGCTGGGACTCTCGGCGAAGACGTGGCCTTGGCTGGCTTCCACCCTAACCCACTGACTGTACCACCCATTTCCCTTCCTCCAAGGAGCAAGTCATTGCTCCCTTTTTAAACTCTCCTGGAGTGGGCTTCCCTTCCTGATCTGTTCTGTCACTCTTTTTCTACAAATTATACATCATCTCATTTTCCCCATAAAATAGAATTCAAGATCCTTAAGAAATCTAGCTGGGTTCAATGGCACACTCCTGTAATCCCAGAGACTCAAGAGGCTGAGGCAGGAGGATTGCAAATTCAAGGCCAGCCTCAGCCACAGGGAGACCCTGTCTCAATCAATCAATCAATCAATAAATGGGGCTGGGGATATAGCTCAATGACAGAGCATCCCTGAGCTCAATCCCCAGTACCAAAATAATTCAATTAAATTTTAAGAAAGAGAATTTAGCCCTTTTATTGAAGAAGAGGTGCCCCCTCTCTGGTTCAAGATTAGTTTTTCCACCTAGGCTCTTGATCCTGTCTACAGGATTCAATCTCTCCATACTTAAAAATGCCCCTCTTCCCCTAGTAGTGACTCTATGAGGGATCTCTTTCTCTTTCCTTTTTGACCTTAAGGACAAAGTCTCTGGAAATACTGCACCACCACCTCCTCAGCTGCTACTCCCTCCTCCACCCACAGCGCTCAAGCTTTCTGGAAAGTTCTCTGGCAAATGGTAACGATGACCTTCCTTCCTCTTGTGGAAATATCTCTAATATTGTTGAATAGTAAATCCTCCATGAGAGCTGGATAAGAAAATCTAATAATATAACAAAAATGAATATTTATCCAATTTTATCCTGCCCTCTCAGAGGTCTAACATTTTGCTCTATATTCTTTCATTAAAAAATAGATAAGTAGAGCTGGGGTTGTGGCTCAGTGGTAGAGCGCTCACCTAGCACATGCGAGGCCTTGGGTTCGATCCTCAGCACCACATAAAAATAAATAGATAAAATAAAGGTATTGTGTCCAACTACAACTAAAAAATAAATATTTCAAAAAATAGATGAGTAAAAAAAAAAATAGATGAGTAGCACTGAGATCATATGTTAAAAGAATAGAAAGACACCAAATAAATCATCTAATATTACATTTCAAGCTCCTAGAAAAAGAACAAATCAACATCCAAATCAGTAGAGAACAAGAAATAATTAAAATCAGAGCTGAAATCAATGAAATTGAGATTTAAAAAAATTTTAAAAATCAACAGAAAGTTGGTTCTTTGATGAAATAAAGAAAATTGATAAACCCTTAGCCAAGGTAACCAAAAAAGAGGAAAAACTCAAATGATTAAAATTCGTGATGAAAAAATGAAATGTTATCACAGATAATACTGAAAGACAGAATAATCATATTTTGAAAAGTTATACTCAATACTAAAAAATCTTGAAGACATCAACAAAGTCCTAGAGATGTATGACCTACCAAACTGAAATAGGAGGACATAGAAAAATTTAAATATATGAATTTCAAGTAATGACCATCAAAAGCCTATCAATAAAGAAAAGCCCAGGGCCAGATGGATTCTTATCCAAGTTCTATGAGACCTTAAAAGAAGAACTAACACCAATCTTCCTCAAATTATTCCTGAAATAGAAAAGGAGGGAACCCTTCTAAACTTGTTCTCTGAAGCTAGTATCACTCTGATACTAAAACCAGACAAATACACATCAAGGAAAGAAAACGTCAGGCCAATATCCCTGATGAACATAGATGTAAAAATTCTTAATAAAATACTAGCAAATCACATATAAAAAAAAAAACATTAAAAGGATAGTGTGCCATGATCAAGTGGGTTTCATCCCAGGGATGCAAAGTTGGTTCAACTATATGGAAATCAATAAACATAATTCACCACAAAAAAATAGGCTTAAAGACAAGATTATTAATGGATGCAGAAAAAGCATTTGACAAAAAAACAGCTCCCATTCATGTTTTAAACACTAGAAAAACTAGGGATTGAAGGAACATGCTTCAACGTTGTTAAATCTATCTATGCTAAACCCAAGGTCAACATCATTCTAAATGGAGAAAAACTGAAAGTATTCCCTCTAAAAACAAACAAGACAGGGATGCCCTCTTTCACCACTTCTATTCAACATAGTCTCTGAAGTTCTATACAGAGCAATTAGACATATGAAAGAAATTAAAGGGATATGAATAAGAAAAGAAGAACCCAAACTGTCTCTGTCTGCCAATGACATGATCCTCTATTTAGAAGACCCAAAAACCTCTACCACAAAACTTCTAGAACTCATAAATAAATTCAGCATGGTAGTAGGATACAAAATTAATACCCGTAAATCAATTGCAATCCTACACACCAATGATGAATCAGCCGAAAGAGAGATTAGGAAAACAATCCCATTCACAATAGCCTCAACAACAACAACAACAACAACTTGGGAATAAATCTAACAAAAGAAGTGAAAGACCTCTACAATGAAAACTACGGAACACTAAGGAAAGAAATTGAGGAAGACCTCAGAAGATAGAAAGATCTCCCATGTTCATGGATAGGCAGAAATAATTATCAAAATGGCCACACTACCAAAAGTGCTATACAGACTTAATGCAATTTTTATTAAAATTCCAATGATGTTCTTTATAGAAAAAACAGTCATGAAATTCATTTGGAAAAATCAAAGGCCCAGAGTAGCCAAAGCAATCTTTTGCAAGAAAAGTAAACCAGGAAGAATAACAATACCAGATCTTAAATTATACCTCAGAGTTACAGTAACAAAAACCGTATGGTATTGGCACCAAAATAGACTTGAAAACAAATAGAGCAGAATAGAAGACACAAAGACAAGCCCACATAAATACAGTTATCCTACGCTAGATAAAGTGCCATAGACGTACATTGGAGAAAAGACAGCCTTTCAACAAATGGTGCTAGGCAAACTGGAAATCCATATGTAGCAGAATGAAATTGAACCCCTATCTCTCTCACCCTGCACAAAACTCAACTCAAAGTGGATCAAGGATCTAGGCATTAGCCCAGAAAATCCTGCACCTACTGGAAGAAAATGTAGGCCCAACATTCCAATATATCAGCTTAGGACCAGCTTCCTCAACAAGACTCCTAAAGCACAAGAAGTAAAATCAAGAATCAATAAATAGGATGGTATCAAACTAAAAAGCTTCTTCATAGCAAAAGAAACAGTGAAGAATGTGAAGAGAGAACCTACAGAATGGGAGAAAATATTTGTCACCTATGCCTCAGATAGAGTGTTAATTTCCAGGTTATATGAAAAACTCAAAAAGCTTAACAAAACAACAACAAAAACAATAATAATAATAATGATAATAATTATAACCCAATCCATAAATGGACAAAGGAACTAAACAGCTCTAAAAAGAAGAAGAAATATGGACGGTCAACATATATATGAAAAGATGTTCAATATCTGTCACAATTAGAGAAATGCAAATGAGATTCCATCTCGATCCAACCAGCATGGCAATTATCAAGAATACAAGCAACAATAAATGTCGGTGAGAATGTAAGGAAAAAGGTACACTCATACATTGTTGGTTGGAATGTAAATTGGTGTAACCACTCTGGAAAGCAGTATGGAAATTCTTCAAAAAACTGGGCATGGAACCACCATTTGATCCGGTTATCCCGCTCCTTGATATATATCCAAAGGATTTAAAATCAGCACGCTACAGTGATGCAGCCACATCAATGTCTGTAGCAGCACAATTCACAATAGCTAAGCTATGGAACCAACCTAGCTGCCTACTAACAGATAAATGAATAAAGAAATTCTGATATATATATATACACACACACACATATATACACACATACACCCAATGGAATATCACTCAGTCATAAAGAAGAATGACTTTATGATATTTGCCAGTAAATGGATGGATCTAGAAACCATCATGCTAAGTAAAAATAAGCCAATCCCCCAAAACAAAAGGGTGGATGTTTTCTCTGATATGTGGAAGCTAACCCACAATAAGGGGACATGAAGAATAGAAGTTTAGAGGATTAGACTAAGAGAAATGAAGGGAAGGAAGGGAGGGGGAATGGGAATAGGAAAGACAATTGAAAATTCTGAAGTAAATTCCCTATGTATATATATATATATATATTAATATACCTCAGTGATCCCACCATCATGTGTATCTACAAGACTGGTGCCCTAATTAGAATAAGATATATTACATTATTGCGTAGTTATATCAAAATGGCTCTACTGTCATATATAACTAAACAGAATCAATAAAAACGTAAGCTGAGGCTGAGGCTATAGCTCAGTGGCAAAAGCATTTGTGAGGCACTGGGTTCCATCCTTAGTGCCACAGAAAAATAAACATTCAAATAGTGAGTGAATTATTCCACATACACTATTTGTAAGCTGCTTGTTTTCATTCATTTGGGCTTACAGAGGGCATCGTTCTATACACAGTCACGTTATTCTTCCTCATTCTTTTGAACAGTTGCATAGTACTCCACCACTGGGATTATTTTACCAGTTTCCTTTAGACAGTTTTACAGTTTGCTTCCAGGTTTATCCACTGTCACTCTGCATGCAACATCCCTGTGTGGCTACATTTGCACACTCATCCGAGTATTTCCTGAGGATGATTCATAAGGCTTAATGGACGGGACACTTTAAAAACTTTGATACAGAGGGTTCTGCTAAATTATGCTCCCACCATCAGTTTCCAGAGCAACTTCTCCTCCTACTATTACCAGCACTGGGTGTTATCAAGCTTTTAAATGTTTACAGTCTGAACTGCAAAAAAACAAATATATGTCTATATCTCCTTTTTCATATTAATGAGTTCCTTGGCCAAATGCAATGACTCCTTTTACTCTTCCCTTTTTTTTCCACTTCAGCAGCATCTGACTCTTTCTTTACAGCATCCTCCTCTCTTTGGCTTGCCTAACCTTTCTCTCCTGGATTTCCCTCTACTGCTCTGGCTTTAGCCATTTCCTTCCTCTGCCCACCCTCCAGCGCTGTCTGTGGCTGTCTCAATCCCCCCAGGTGCAAGTCAGGCAGGAGCGTTTTTTCCTGCCATGTAACTGGAATGCTGCTGGCTGAGAAATCATCCTTCCTGGCTGGAACTCCTCCCAGGACATCTCCCGCTTAGGAACTCCAAACTCTTGAGAGACTCAGACTGCATATTTAAAACCATCTTCCTCTTTAAAGATCTGCTCTATCTGGGACGTCCATCTTCTCTTCTTCCTTCCCTCATCCCCTAGGGCCCCACACAGTGACTCTGTTCTGAGGCTTCTGAGTCCCCAGCACTTTTCCTCTCCCCTCAGGTCTCTCTTCCATTCCCACTGCCTCGCCTGGGCCATTCAACACAAGGGCAGAGCATGGTAGGAGTCAATCTGGTCTCTCCCTGTAGTTTTACCCCTCTTCTTTTTTGGTACCAGGGATTGAACCCAGGGGTGTTTAACCGCTGAGACACATCCTCAGCCCCCCCCCCTGCTTTTTTTTATTTTGAGACAGGGTCTAGCTAAGTTGCTTAGGGCCTCCCTAAGTTGAGGCTGCCTCTGAACTTAACAATCCTCCTGCCTCAGCCTCCCAAGCCTCTGCAATTTCAGGTGTGCACCCCCATGCCCAGCTAAAATAATATATTTAAATAAATATATATCTAATATATTTAAAATTAAAAAAATTTTTTTAGTTGTAGATGGACAGATAGAATGCCTTTACTTGTTTATATTTATGGGTGCTAAAGAATCGAACCCAGTGCCCCACACATGCTAGGCAAGCACTCTGCCATTGAGGTGCAGCCCCAGCCCATATTTAAATATTTTTTATTTTAGAAGCTATGTATGTAACATATACAATCTATAATTTTTAAAACTATATAATGTATAATTTTAAAACTATATGTGCTATATACAGTTTTTATTTATTTATTTATTTTTATTTTTTAAAATTTTAATATTTATTTTTTAGTTTTGGGCGGACACAACATCTTTGTTGGTATGTGGTGCTGAGGATCGAACCCGGGCCGCACACATGCCAGGCGAGCGCGCTACCGCTTGAGCCACATCCCCAGCCCCAATATACGGTTTTTAAATAGTTAAAAATTTTATAAAACTACATATAGCTTTAAAATTGTATGCCATTTATAGGTAGATAACATTTAAATTTATATGTATAACATTTTTATTTAAATTTAGAATTGGAATCCCACATACTTGAAATACTAGGGCTTGCTAGAAATAGGCCAAGGGCTGAGACTGGGGCATGGCTGCCCCTTTTCTCTGTAGTGTTTATCGACTTGGAAGCCAAATGGGGTGTCGGGCTGAATTACTTTATCCTGGCTGATCAGGCACTGTGTTTTGGGGCCCCTTATCACCTTCACCCCAGCGGGACAGTCCTGCAACCCTCTGCATTATTCAGTGGCCCAAACAAGATCTCCACATCAGATGAAGGGTGGCCTTCCTAGGATGCCGGGTGCAACGAACCCCAGTGGCCCTGTCTAGCCTCCTGCCCACGCCTCAGCCCAGAGGCGGCCCCCTCCCCTCCAGGAACCTGGGTCAGGCACTCACGCGATGAGGTTGAAGCAGTCCTTGTTGGACATTTGCTCCTCTAGCAGCAGCCGCAGGGAGTGCTGGATATGAATAATGTACATGGAATTGGTCACGGAGATATCCAGCAGTATAACCACCCTAAAAAGAAACAGGAGCTTTCAGAGGAGAACCGAATCTCTCAGATAATGTTTATTTTGTTCCATTTTACTATTTAAGGCTTTTTCCAGGGGGATTTCGCATGCCAAATTCATAGCTGGCTCCAATCTCCCCCGTGGTGTGAGGCCAAGAGAGATGGGTTTACAATAGTAGGCTGGGGGGGGGGGTCTCGGATCCTTCTCTCCCTGTAATGGAATAAGCCAGGTCTCGGTAGGCCTGGTTTAAGGGTGGTAGACTGCATACCCTGATTCTCACAAACCTTTTTGTTTTAAAGAACTGGCTTTGAATATTTTAATAGGTCAGGGTTGCTGTATGGAAAGCAAAAACAAGGAGAAAAAGATGAGGCGTTAGGTGTATCCTTAGTCCACCTTCTCCCCCATCCTCCTCTTGAGACAGCTGTGGATGGTAGAAGAAAATCCTTCTGACCTAGAGTCAGATGATCTTTGCTCAGGCCCTGCTTCCTACCAGCCATGTGGCCTTGGGCCTTAGGTTATGTGGCCAAGTCACAAAGCCCTAAAAACTATATGAGAAGTCTCCTTGCAGAGTTGCTTCGAGGACTGAATTAGGTAAAGATGTTTAGTATTATAAAGATAATACCTTGTAAATAGCAATGCATCAAATAAGGTATGATGAGGATGGCTGTGTTTGCATACATATTGTCTGTCCCTAGTCAGCCTCCATTACCCCTTCTGGCCACAGCATCCTGATTTTCCTTTGGGAAACAGCTCTGCTTCCATCAACCTGAGTCAGGTGAAACTGACCCAAACTTCAGGGGTGAGCGTTTGACCCTAAACCATGAGAACCTCTCACCTCCCTGGCCCAATGAGAGGACCGTGGAAGTCTTGGGTGTGTTAAGGTAGAAGAAAGTTAGTTTGGAGCTTCAGGCATCCGTTTTCCTCCTAGCAGGGAAGCTGTCACAGAGAGAAAGCAGAGCCGAGACCCAGGTTCCTGGATCCAGCCACATCTGCAGATGGCTATCAGATCTCTTCTAGAATTTTCAGGCACCTTAATCAGACTTCTCTGTTTGGTTTCAGCCAATTCGCACTTAGTTTCTGTTGCTTTTTAACAGAAAGAATCCTGAGTGACACGTGATGGTGGTGCTGGTGTGGAGGGATGGTGGGGTCACCTTTTCCTCTTCCGGGGGTTCTGCTGAGCGATTACTGACACCTAATCTAAGTGATGGCTTCTAAGGCCACCGACAGGGAGTCACGAGTCAGGTAAATGTCGTGCCACACACCACGCCTGTGAAGGACAAGAGCACTGCTTGGGGGGAAGGTACCTTTTTTCACAGACGGTGCCCCAGATCCTTCTGCTGGCCAGGGAGAGCCACTCGATCCTCCTCTCATACAGCTGCAGGGCTCCGCTGAGCTGCTTCTGTAGAGGCAATGACCACCGTGAGTGACTGCGGAAAGGGTGGCGATTCAGAGGTCTGTGGGGAGGGAGATATTTCACTGGCTTCTGGACATGGTGTGTCAAGGCTCTGATATCCAGGCAGTATAAACAGCCTCCTGAGTCAGCGAGTCTGCCCCAGGCCTAGGGAAGGGAGGGTCAAAGTCTTCTGGCGGCCTTGAGTGGTGAAGGAGGCAGATCGTTCCCCAGAGGGTGAGACTGACTCTTGCTGGGTCTTCTAGGTCCAGCCTGGGAAGGTACCAGAGCTCTCTTTACAGCAGGGAGTTCAGACTCCACTGCCCATGGCACCTCCTGGTACCCCATACTCTGACTTACTGAAGGCATCACTGACCTGGTACTCGTAGAGGAAGGGTGGGTCCACGTGGACATTCTTCATTGTCCCGTCATGCCATTCAAACTGTACCATGGCTCTCTGCACTCGGAGTGGGCAGGAAAGGGAGCAGGTGAGCAGAGGCGGGAGTTGGGGGAAGGATTTTAAATCTAATTTGGATATTGGACTTGTCAACCGAGACGCAGGAGAGAGAGGTGGGCTCTGAGCACAACTGGGTGGGATTTCCCTGCCCACCACACATACCATCGCCACCACAGGCCATTGCTGTGTCTGGAGCTGGCAGGACAGGGGTCACTTTCTTGAGAGGCTCTTGGGTTTGGGAACCCAGATAAGCCTTTGGGGACACTGAATATCCAATGTGTCCATCCTGGTCCTGCCTCCCCCATCAAGCCACCGTAGCCACCTCTGTCACTACATCATCTGCTGCTCCAACTGTACACCTCCCACTCCTCCGTCCTTCAGCCTTCTGTCTTCCCACTGATCTATTTACCTATTAGTCCTTCCATCCTTTCTTTCATTTTTCCTTTGATCCTTTTGTTTTTCCTTTGTTCCTTCCTGTTTTCTCTCATTTCATTTCCCCTTTCCATTCTTCCAACCAGGTACACACCCACCTCCATTTCCACTCATCTACCCATCCATTATCCTTTTCCTTCTTCTTTCCTTCCATCTGCTCACCCACCCAGCCATCCTGTGGGCCTTCACTAGCTGCTTCCTTGTCCTAGACATGGGGGACTAGAGTTGGAGAAGAGAGTGTTTCTCTTAAAGGACTCGTGCTTCGTGGGGACCTAAATGGGTTAACAGGAGATAGGAGCAATCATAAAGTCTGCACGAGGTACAGTGAAGACATAAAGAGCTCACATCTGCCCTCTCTGAGTGGGGTGGAGCAGAACTTTCATGGAGGAGGTGACTATGGTACCTGATTTACTGTCCCATCTCCCAAGTTTTATTTTCTTTATTTTTTTTTTTGAGGGGTGGGGAGTACTGGGCATTGAACTCAGGAGCACTCAACCACCAAGCCACATCTCCAGCCCTATTATTTTATTTTTTATTTAGAGACAGGGTCTTACTGGGTTTCTTAGCATCTTGCTTTTGCTGAGGCTGACTTTGAACTCATGGTCTTCCTGCCTCAGCTTCCGGAGCTGCTGGGATTATAGGTGTGTGCCACTGAGCCTGGCTCCAAGTTTCATTTCCAAATTTTTACAGTAGATTTGTTCGTTTTTTTGAGGGGGGTTCTGGAGATGAACCCAGGTTTAGAGTATGCTAAACACACGCATGAGGTGCCACTGAGCTACACCCTGGCCCTGTTATAGGGATCTGGCGAGTGATCCTGAGCCCCAGGGGAAAAGCCTGGCCCCCTGTCCAGGCCTTAGGGCCCACCATGGCCCACTTAGGACTCTCATTGCCCAAACATATCAGAAGATGGGAAGTGCCACAAGGGAGCACCCCTGTAGAGCATGGAACAGAGCTCTGCATTTGAAATACCTCGTGGATAGTTGATGATACTGTTTTCTGCAGAATGGGCACAAATCCTTCCACAGGAGAGAATGCGTTGGGTGCCAGAACCTGATAAAGACTTAATTTCTTGGCTGCAAAAAATTAAATAGTTGGGTTGAGCCCCTAAGGGTCCAGGCTTTTTCCTAGGTCACCTGTGTCCTGGGTCTCTGCCCTCTTTGGGAATTTACCTTTTAGGCCATTGATTTTTAGCCACTCTGCAGAAGTCTTGTCCAAGTTTGGGAACTCAATTGAGAGAGGAGCATCATGTCTTGTACGTTTAGGCAAAAGACTTGTGAACGGTTCTTTTTCCAGCTCTGGGGAAATCTAATTAGAAAGCTCTTATTACATAACCGTATTTTACAGCTGGAAAGTCTTCAATCTTCCGCACTTGCCCAGTCCCCTAAGTGGAGCGTCTTAAATCCTGACCTGGTAGATAAAGGACAGTTCTGCTTTCCCCTCCCATCTTCCTCATCCCTTCCTTAGGAGATTTTTGGAATTTCCAGGGAAGTGAGAGATACTCAGTATCTCCCTTCCTCTTCCATTTTCCCATCCTCCTTCCCCCCCTCCTGTCCTTACTACAGATTCCAAGATGGCGGGTAGCCCCACCAGGACTTAAAACCCAAGGCTAATGCCCAGGCCATATCATTTAGGGAACCCTGATCTAGCCCAGTCTCTCCTAGTCACAGTGGCAGAGTGAAAAACTGTCTCCGAGAGGTTGAACTGCACAGTTAGTGTGTAAGTAAAAAGGCAGTTCCCAGACGCCATTGGTTGAACTCTACCTACCTCCTTCACGGCACAGGCCTGTTCCTCACAAGGGTTGCTCTGGTGCAGGGCTTGCATGTAGCCCAGGAGGCTCTGGGCCTTCTGGATTTCTGCCTGGAGCTCATCCATGTCTCTACTGGTATAGAGCTGGGGGAGGGAAGGGATGGTGGTGGCCATCAGCCATGAGGAGTGGCCTGGATATCAGCAGTGGCCAAGGCAGGAAAGGGGCAGGTAACCCAGGCAATTCCCAAAGCTGAGTGGCAGCCTGTTTAAACCAGAGGTTACAAACCGGGAGCCACATGCCAAATTGAGCCTGCAAACGTGTTTTGTTCCACAAGTATAGTATTGGCCTGCGGTGTTTTTAAACAACAGAAGGATTTTCTAACTTTAAAAATGTAAAAGAACACTTTGCACTGACTGGGATGGCTATAATAATAACAAACAAAAAATAGTAAGTGCTGGGGAGGCTGGGGAGGCTGGGGAGGACTGGAACCCTTCTTCAGTGCTGGTGGGAATTTGATGGTGTAGCCGTTATGGAAAGAGTTTGCGGGTCCTCAAAAAAATTAAGCATAGAATTACCATCAGATCCAGCAATTCCACTTCAGTTCTGTCATCCAAATGACAGGGCTCAGAGATCCTTGATTACCCATGTTTGTGGGAACATTGTGACCATCAAAATGTGGAAACAATCCAAATATCAATCAATGTGGTCTCTCCAGACAATGAGAGTTATTCATCCCTAAAAAGGAATGAAGTACTGATACCTGCTACAGCATGGGTGAACCTTGAGAACATCATGCTAAGTGAAAGCAGCCAGACTCAAAAGATGAAATATCCAGAACAGGTAAATTCATAGAGACCTGAAGCAGGTTGGTGATTGCCAGGAGTCTGGAGTGGTGGGAGGGAGAAGTGAGGAGTGAATGGTTTGTGGGTACAGGGTCTCTTCTGGGGCTAATGTTATGGTTTAGATAGAAGGTGTCTCCACCAAAAACTCATGTGTGAGACAATTCAAGAAAAAATTGGGAAGTGAAATGATTGGGTCATGAGAGTCTTCACTGATCAGTGCATGAATCCACTGGTGGGGATTTGTTGGGTCACAACTGTAGGCAGGTAGGCTGTGGCTGGAGGGGGTGGGTCACTGCAGGGTGTGCCTTTGGGGTATGTATTTTGTCCCTGCTCTACAGTGTCTCTCTGCTTCCTGGTGCCATATTCTGAGATGCTTTCCTTTACCACACTCTTCCACTCTGATGTTCTGCTACACCTTGAGTAATACAGCAATGGAGCCGGCCATTTATGGACTGAGACCTCCAAAAATGTGAGCTCCAAATCCACTTTTCCTCCACTAATTGTTCTTGTCAGGTCTTCTGGTCACAGAGACGACAGACCTGACTAAAACAGGTGATAAAAGCATTTTGGGGGCTGGGGATGTGGCTCAAGCGGTAGCGCGCTCGCCTGGCATGTGTGCGGCCCGGGTTCGATCCTCAGCACCACATACAAACAAAGATGTTGTGTCCGCCAAGAACTAAAAAATAAATATTAAAAAAAAAAAGCATTTTGGAACTAGCTAGAGGTGGGGTTGTCCAACATTGTGAACGTCTTCAATGTCGCTGAATTGTTCAAAATGATTAATTTCATATTATGTGAATTTACCTCGGTTTTTAAAAATATAATGGAAAAAAACCCATATTTCTGACTCTTCTTGACAAATTGGAAGACCTGGTAAGATTGGGATCACATTTCTACAGAACAACAAGTGGCTGGGCTGAACAGAGGCCATCTCTTTAAATAGGACATGTGCTATCTATTTTGCCAAAGTTCTCAAATAAAATTCTTTGTACCCATTTCTTCAATAAGAGAGTAAAACAACACCCCCTCCACCCATAAGGCAACTGATAAGGGCCACGGGTTTTAAGATACAATATTTCTTAAAGCAGCCCACTGCATTTTTTTTCTTTAGCTTTTCCCCCCCTGTAGCCTGTGACACCTACAAAGAGGTTGGGCAGTGAGGTAGTGAGAAGAGGCGTGGTCAGACCTGACTCCCTGGTATGAAATGCTAGACTTTGTGACACTTGAACACACTTGTGAGATGCAAGCACGCAGTTATTCATGGTTATTCACAGTTATTAGCAGACATAGCCTGTTAGCCAAACAGTGACAGGATTCTTAATCTGCCAAATGGATCTATTCGTGTTTTCTAATTGTTACCTCCATTAGGAATATGGATGATATTTAGCTGTTAACTGGGTCAAGGACACTAATGGATTGGTATAAGATTGTGTTTTAGTCAGTTTTTCTCACTGCTGTGACTGAAGGACCTGACCAGAACAACTATAAAGGAGCAAAGGTTTATTTCAGAGGTCTCAATCCATAGACAGCTGGCTTTATTCTTCAGGGCTCCAGGTGAGGCAGAACAACATGGCGGAAGAGTGTGGCAGAGGGAGGCAGCTCACATGGTGATCAGGGACCTGAAAGAGACTCCATGCTCCAGATACAAAATACATACACCATAGCCACGCCCCCAAGGAACCACTTCCTCCAGCCACCCCACCTGCCTCGAATCACCACCTAGTTAATCCCATCAGGGATCAATTCACTGATTGGGGGCGAGGCTATAATCCGATCATTTATCCTCCAAACCTTGCATTGTCTTACATGTGAGCTTTTGGGGGACAGCTCACATCCAAGTCATAACAGACTAATTGCTTTTTCTGCCCAGCTGTGGGTCCCTTGCAGTAGCAGGGGTCTTTCTAGGACTGAGAACAGAGGTGTCTGTTTCACACAGTGCTCTGGTGGGAACCGAGACAGGCTGGGCCCGTGTTCATGGGATCTGGATAGTGATAGGGGATTCTGCCAACCAGTCTGTGGATTCCCAGGCGTGCAATCAACCCACCATACACACTGGCAAAGGAGCACTTGTGACCCCAGGTTGTCCCTGTTCTTCCCGTCTACTCATTTTAACCTGATCTTACCTGTGTGAACTTACTGGATATGAGCTGGGAGCCTTGGAGGCAGGCGGGAAGGGCAGTGTGTTGGTAGAGAACTTACCTCTGTCTCTGGGCTGTAGCAGTGGTAGTAGCCCCTGAGTGCTTCTGCAAGGTTCTTCAGGATAGCCTGCAGAATGGCCACAGGATCAGTCCTTGCCAGCTAGGGTAACACCAATGCTCAGACAAGCCCCCTCCTGGCCTGGACCTGCCAGCTCTCCAATGCTTCCCATTTTACCAACAGGAGAGGTAGGTATAGGGAGGGTGTCTGGTCCACAGTGTGGGAGTTCTGCCCAGTCCTGAAGCCTCAAAGGCCAGCCCAGCTCACTATCGCCAAATCCAAAGGGAACCCAGGAGAATCCCAAGTGCTTACAGAGGGGACCTGATCATCGCATCTGTAGGTGATGACTTGGGTGATGAGGTCCCTTCCCATGGAGGATTGTTGGATGTAGTCAGACAGGATTTCAGAAGGCTGGTCTGGGCTGGGCAGGGGAGAACACAGAAGAGGAGAAGAAGATGCCCCAGGTCAAATCACCTTGAGAATATGCCACAGCCAAATGGTAATTCCCAGGGAACATCTACTCATTCTGAACTGACCACTGTGACTCAGGACACCTGTGTAAGGTGCAGGGCTGGGTGGACCCTAGGCCCAGCTGCCCTGCCCTAGCTGTGGGTGGGTGACCTGCAAACATGATCCTCTCTTGAGCATGTGTGGAGAACCACACATGGTGATCCTTCCTCACACAGTGTTTTGTTTTTTCAACCCACTTCACGTAGTTTGTTACCCACTTAGGAAAAGAGGACCTACCAGCTTCCCATTATAATCACCAGAGAATCCAGCCCCTTTAGTGTGAAGATTTTCTTCAGGGCTTGTAGTAAATTGCTGCCTCCCTCAGGCTGCTGTTCCTTTACCCAGAGCTTGAGTTCCTGGAGGCTGGGAAGACACAGCAGCAGCAACCTGATTACACTCATGCACCGCGTCATGACCAGAACCTTCTGAAAAACTTTGGTGATTTTGATGTTAAGTGTGCGTCACGGAATGGACATACACAAACCAGAGGGTGTGTCCTACTACACACCTGGACCCTGTGGCAGTGGTATGCAGTGTAGCCTATTGCTCCTGTGAGCAAAACCACAGGAAATCAAACCAATCATGCGAGGAAGGGATGTAATGGAGAGATGAGGTGCTCCTGGTGGAAACTGCACAGTGTTTTGCTATGAAGGAATGTGCTCCAAACCTCCAGAAGAGGCACAGCACAGGGACTGGTGTGTGGTTCAATGGTGGAGTGTTTGGCTAGCATGCACGAAGCCCTGGGCTTATCCCAGAATCACACCTACACAAAGGACAGCATAGTAGACACATAAACTGGAAAGATAGTCATCTATTATCATTTCCTGTACTATACAGAATTGTATGTGCTCTATTTTTCTTTATTTTCTTTCTTTATTTTTGGTATCAGGGATTGAAGACAGGGGTGCTTTACCACTGAGCCATAGCCCCCTTTTTATTTTTTATCTTGAGACAGGTTCTAAGTTACTTAGGGCCTCACCAAGTTACTTAGAGCCTCACTAATTTGCTGAGGCTAGCCTTGAACTTTCAATCCTCCTGCCTCAGCCTCCGAGTCACTGGGATTTAGAGTGCACCAGTGTGCCCAGCTGTGTTCTCTTTTTATATGTCTGGCAGTGCAGTATTACCACAAATGCATGAGTATTGCACTGTTACAACAGCTATGTCAGTAGGTGGCAGGAGCCTTTCATCTCAGTTACCATCTTATGGAACCGCGTCTCATAGGTGATCTACCCTTGAACAAACTGTCTCTGTGTGGACTCTTACCAGGTGCCAGGTTTAGGACAAATATTAGCTCATTTAAGCCTAATAATAACCATTGTGGTAGGTGCCTTTATTCCCATTTTATAGATGAGGCTTACAAACTGAGGCTCAGAGTTAGGATTGGTCCATGGTGATACTAAAACACAACTGGTAAAAACAGATTTCAAATCAAGTCTGACTCTAGAACCTGAGCTTGCCGTGTCTCTGCTGTTTGAGGGGCTGAGGCTGAGTCCCTTTCTCTTACCACACCCACCCAACTTTCCTGGAATCTAGAGTTTAGTGTGAAGCACAAAACTAATCCCATAACCCTGAGAGCTGGCATGTGGCCAAGGAAGAAGTCCCATCTCACGGGGGACTTAGCTGCACAGCCACATGCCACACGGGGCACTAAGGGCAACATTCTGCCCTTTCCACTTTTTTAAGCTGACAAAGGGAAAATTGGGCTGGGGTGTGGCTTAGTGGTGGAACACTTTTGGTGGTGCTAGGGTGTTCCATCCCTAGCACCACCAAAAGGAAAAAGAAAAGAAAGTATATCTCCATTTGGTGCTAATGAGACTGTCACTTGTTACTTTAGCTGTCCAGTCACCTCCCTGTGCCCCACAGCATTCGGACAGAACCCCACTCTAGCCAAGCACTCTGCTAATCCAAGTCTCCCTTTGAACAGAGAGAACAAGTCCCAGCCTAGCACCTTCTCTAGCCAATCAGTTTCTAGCTGGAATTCAACATTTCATTATATTTATTTTTATGGTTACTGTCTAATTATGGCAAGTGATGTGTGATTCTTGGTTATAGACTTGATAGAAAATTGCCTTCAATAATAAATAGAGTTAATATAAAGATCTAGTAAAAGTGCCACACTGTGGCAGGGATATGACATAGGGACATGATAAGGGAAGCCCAGGAGTGACTGGAGTTGAGGAACTCAAGTTCCAGGGAATGGGGACCCAACTGGAGTGCAAAAGAGAGTACAGAATGCTCACGTTCACTGAGCACCTGTCCCGGCCAGGTACCTATTTCTCATTTCATCGTGACAACTCTGTGAGGAGTTGGTACCACTGGCCTCGTTCTGCAAACGAGAGTTAGAGGACTTGTCAGATTCCACCAGAGACCATCAGAGCCAGGGTCCTGCCAGAGCTGCCCAAGCCAGGCCATTTCTGTATGTGGAAGGATTCCCTTTCACAGCTGGTGCTGCGGAAGGGGGTTTCCTTTCCAGGAATTTAAGCTGGGAACCCAATCTGGGCTCTATTTTCTCAGGTGTCAACATTAAGACGACATCCACGAGAAGCACCCAGCATCACACCCACTACATACTAGGTGACATCCTCTTGATGGAAAAGAGGTTTCTACATACTGGCACAAGTAGGAATTCATACAAACCTCCTTTCCACCCCACAAAACTCCAAACGAGAATCCCCCAATAAAGGACAGGTATGCAGAAGAATTCGTCATAGCCATCAAGAAGAGCGAGACGGATCTGTAGGCACTGCTAGAGTGGGTGAATGATCAAGGTGCCGAACAACATTACCTGCTCCCACTTATGTTCAAATCACACAAATGCATGAATATTCAGACTGTCTGCAAAAGCACTCACATGTCCTGTCCCTGTGTGAGTATGAGTATAACCAGAAGGCGGGCACAGTGTGCACACTGGTATTGCCAGCTACTCCAGAGACAGAGGTGGGAGGATCCCCTGACCCCAGAAGTTCCAGACCAGCCTAGGCAGCACAGGGAGACCCCTGATAAACCAAACTATCATAGGGAAGTGAGAAGGAAGCTGGAGTGAGGGGGAGACTCATTATTATTTATGTTTCCTACTATTTGAATTTTTAAAAACATGCATGTTACTTTCATAATAATAAACCTATCATTTGCTAATTTGCTGGACAAAAATCATGCCTTGTAAGTATCTTGTCTTTCATTTTGTGGGCTGGTCATTTGCGCAGTGACCATTTTCCCCCCCAATTTTTGGCCGGCTGAGCTTCTGCTTTTGTGAACTGGTCACTTTGTATTCACTTATGGGGTCCACACTCGATGAAGAAGACACTGACGCTTAAGGAGGAAAGGAAAAAGTCCTGGTGGAGGCTGGGTAGCACTCACGTGAAGGTGCTGACTTCCACGGGGTCTGGCCAGAGGGGATTGATGGTGGTGCCAAAGGACAGGACATACAGCTTCTCTTTGAGGCTCAGCTGCTCATCAATGAGGCTCTGCCAGACAAAAGGACATCACTGGCTCACAGAGCCAGGGGCCACGTGGAGCCTGGTGTCACCCCTCCAGCCTTAGTGGGACCCTCTGGGATGGGGCGTGAGCTGTGCTGAAATGCAGGCTCTGAGCCTTGGCTTGGTGGCCATCCCCGAGCTTCCAGCCCACTGGGTCTCACGTGGTGAGGGGAGCTGGCTGGCCGCCTGTCTCAGCATGCGCTGTGGCTAGACCGCGGGCACCTAGCTGCCACATGGGGTGGGGGTTGGGGAGTGACAGCGGCATCATTGAAAGGCATGAGGGCTGGCAATGGAGCCATGAGCAAAACACCAGCCCGTTCAGTGCCCTCAAGCGGCAGCTCCTCCCTCCTCCCTGGTCAACTAGAAATGTCACCTTCCTGCCACCAACATGAGCCTAACGTTAGACCACCAGGCCTGGGGAATCTTTGGAAACGCAGCCCTGAGGACTTATCATGAGAGGAGCTTGCATAGACATCTGTCCCCTGACACCCAGAACAGGGGACGAGTCTGGACAGTTGCACAAGCTGGGCCACATTGAGCCTGTGCCTGGCTTGATAAGAGAGGGGTTTTGCTGCTGTGATCTCCCTAAAGCTCTAGGGATTTCCATAATACCCCTCCACCTCCCCTCAGAGACTACAGTGGTTTCTGTCTCTGCCAGGTCTGCACTTTATTGGAACAAACTCCTTCCGTGTGGCCCTGTTAGGCAGCTGTTGTTCTTGTTCCCATTTCACAGAGAAGGTAGTTAAGCACTGGAGATCTGAGATGCCAGGGTCCATGGTCCAAGTTGGGGGTTTGGGTTTGTCTCATCATCTGACTCTAGAGTTCTGAGCTTTTCTACTCTGGATACACCAAAGAAACCAGAATAGCCCCTCCTTCCAGAAAAGTCCAGGATCCTAGTTCTGTCTTGGGCTGGAATCAGCCCCCAACTGATTCCTGCCTTCACATCCTCTCTCCAGGGAACTGCGGGCTCTGGAGGCAAAGTCTAGTTGGTTGGTGGTGAGAATACTAGAAGTTCGCACTGCAACTGAAAATGGGGTGAGGTTTCGCAGAATCCAATGCATTTCTCTCATGTAGGTGCTAATTAAGCAGCCGGGTTCTTCACAGAACACTCTGCTTTGCATTTGTTGTAAACAAAGCCCGGGAGGGTGGGGGAGTGACTCCAGGTATCTCCTGTGCGGGGAAAGACTTACCATGAAGTCATTCTGGAATTCTTCCTTCCGAGGGCCACTGCCAAATGCTGATGCATCAAGGAGGATGCCCACCCTGGCCCCCTTGATGGAGCCAAACACCTAAAACCAAGAAGGCATTCAGAAATAACCATCACAACTCTGTGGCTCTCCTGGGCCATGCACGGACCAGCTCTGCAACAAGCAGAGCATCAACAAGCAGCAGCAGGTGGAAGCCCCCCACTCCATTTTATGGGGGAAAAAGCAAAACCCCGTGTCCTGACTTCAGCTCTGGGCATTATCTGCTCCCAGGCCATGCATGGCAGCCTAGTTTCTAGAAGTTCTTTTTTGTTAGCACTACTGTGCACTCTCATAAAGTGAGGGCTGCCCATTACAGAAAAATCTGGAGACTATAGAAAAAGCATCCTTTGTAAGAGATGAAGTTTGAAGTCTAATGACATCAGCCTATCTTAATTTCTCTATGCCCCTTTTTATGTTGCTGACTACCAGTCAAAGGCAGATGTGCTGGGCTCCACAGCTGCTGTGCTATTTCTGTGCATTTCTAATTGAGTTTCTAAAGGCGATTACCATATGCATGTCAATGCTATTGGACTCTGTACTCTAGTGCCCTCCTGTCAGAGTGGCATGTCAATTGGAACTTTTTTTAAAAAATATAGTTATTTTTCAGTTTTCAGTGGACACAACATCTTTATTTTATTTGTATGTGGTGCTGAGGATCGAACCCAGCGCCCCGTGCATGCTAGGCAAGCGCGCTACCGCTTGAGCCACATCCCCAGGCTCTGGAACTTTTCATTCATATGAAATTGATAGCTCTCTAGAGGCAGTAGGTGCCATTGGATGTTTTTGTCTTAAATTAACTTTACTGGACTTTATTGACTGCTGAATTTTCCTGTTGGATTCCCTCCTTCTACGTTCACAGATAATATTTTTTGAGGGGGTTACTAAGGATTAAATTCAGGGGTGCTTAACCACTGAGCCACAGGGATGAGCGCAGGTTCCAGCCTATCCAGGTAGTATTTCTCACCTCCTGGTCATGGTGATTTTTCTAAATTAATCCACTAAGAATCAATCCCAGGCCTTGGGAGGGAATAGGAAGTGAGGTCCCTTTCAACTGGATTTGTCTAGCTAGTGACATAGAAACTTAGATTGCTGGTGGCCCTCTTTCCCAACCCTGGGGTGAGCCCTGCTGAGAGCAAAACCGATCCTCAGGAAAGCAGAGCCCAGACAAATTGCACTCAGGTCCAACTGTGTCTGGGTATAACTTCATCCATGGAGGTTAACAAGTTTCTTTTTTTAAAACTTAAGCCCGTTTAAGTCGTTTGCAGCTGAAAGAATTGTAACAAGTACAGACAGAATGAGTGGAAAGGGACAAAGAACAAGATCTGCGTCTGTTACCTTCTTGCTGTTTTCTGTGAGCCACTGGATTCTCTGCTGGTAGCGTTCAATAACTCTGTCAAGACACCAGAAAGACTCATCACCACAGTCGGCTGAGCAACAGCCACTTACACCCACAGGAGGAAGGTGTGGGTGGGATTTTTTAAAAAACCAGGCAAAGTCTAGCCAAGAGAAAATAACTACAGCTCTGAGTTTTCCAGGACGCCAGGTAAAATCCCAAAGGGTATGTGGAAAGTATTGAGTGCAGAGGCTGCTCTTCTGGCAACATTATCAATGGCTGGCTTGGTGGGATGAGGGGCAAGCTGCAGAGTGAGAGGAGATGGGGGCCTTGCTCATGAGGAAGGTGGGAGAACATTCTTGTATTTGCTCAAATCTGTGTCTTCTCAGATGCAACCACCCCTGGTCTCCTGGAGACTGATCCTAAATGCACAACCAAGGTTGTTCAGCTGTAGTTTCTGGGTAACAAAATATTGGTTTGCAAAAAGTAGCCAGAGGAATTTCTTGATGTTCTCTTAATGCAAAGCTAGCCATTCCGTCACTGGTTGGACAGTAGCACATGATGCGGATTCAAGGTAAAGACCCAGTCATTTGAGTTTAACTGACTTGCACTCACTGAGGGTAGGTAGATTTGGGGACCAGAGAAGAGCAAGGAAAACCCATAAATGTAAAATGGTGGGGGGCAAGGAGTGGTGGGTAGATGTGTAAGTGGTGGGTAGATGTGAGCTAAGAACATGAGCTTCATAATGAGAGGGGCTTGGGCTTGAAAGCCAGGTCTGCCCATCACTAGCTATATGACCTTGGGCAGGTATGGTAACCTCTCTGAGCCCCAGTGCTGCATCATCTTCAGCAAGCAGATAATAAAGCATTCTATACAAGTCGATTTGTCCAAACTCAACTCACTGTAAGTCAATTCTCTGATGATCCAGTTGCCAAATGACCAATTAGCTTAATAGACTAGAAAATTCCATAAAGTGCTGGATTCACAATTAAAACCAGTCAATTAAAATATCACAGAATTCTTCAAAACTCATTTAATCTTCTAACCCAATAAAAATTGCTATAAAATTTACCATTAAAATGTTTTGATAAATTTGGCAAATTGGTCAATTCTGTGAATGATCATTTTAGCAACTGCCTTTTGATTAGCTGGTGTGAGAGTAATACAAAGTTTTGGGTTGTTGTAAAGGTTAAATACAGCCCTTAGCAGAATTTGTGACACATTAATTAAATATTATCTATCATCATCATCATCATCATCATCATCACCACCACCTTTCAAAAAACCTCAGTAAAACAATAATTGTGGATCCTAGATTGCTATAACTAGGATGAAAGGACCATCCTAATCTGTTAATCTGTCTACTGATTATCCAGAGACATATCTGTATGCATTTGTGTATGTATTTGCACATATTCTTGTACTATCAAATCAGTTCAGGAGAAGGGTGTATGCATATTTTTGACATACATTGCAAAGGTATGCCCAACCAATTTGAACTTGAAAGTATTAGCTTTTGTTTTTTGGTACTGGGGCTTGAACCCAGGGGTGTTTTTACCACTGAGCCCTTTTTATTGTTTATCTTGAGACAAAGTCTCGCTAAGTCACTTAGGACCTTGTTAAATTGCTGAGGCCGGCCTCAAACTTGTGATCCTCCTGCCTCAGCTTCCTGATTTTCTGGGGATTACAGGCGTGCACCACCATGCTCAGCTTTAAAAGTAGTCTCTCTTAACCATTAAACATCAAAAGAAACGGGTGAGGTTTCATGGGTTCATCCAAAGGGACTATAAGACTGTAAGACTCATTTGGTCCAACCTTTAAATTTGAGAAAAGGGAAAACTGGGGCTACAGGTGGGAAGAGATCTGCCCAAGCTCCTGGGAGATTGGTGTTTGAACACAGTTACTTTCAGGATGGGGAACAATCTAACTCTTGAGCACTGGGTTGTGGAAGGACAATTGAGAAACATACTTACTCAGAAAGCTTTGATTCAAAACGGTGGATGGTGTGAGTGCAGAAGCGCACTTTTTGGGTGACATTGCAGCTCTCTTCCCTGAAAAATTAAAGCCTGATGAAGGGTCTCTCAGGACTGGGGTTGGGGCATATCATGCACCTCTCAGGAGTGAGGGGAATGGCTTCAGACTTACAGCATGGCTGTGCCCTGACTGATCAGGTCAGCCAGGGTGAGTTTCTCAAACTTTAAACTGTGAGTTGAAAGCCAGTCTTCAGATTCTTCCAAAACTGAAGACTGATCCTTGCTTTCCTGCAGCTTCTGCAAGACAGAAGCCAGAATCAGACAGAAGACTGTGTGTGAGATGGGGACAAGGATGCCTTGGTTTTCTTCACTTGGATACCCCAGGGGTGCCAGATCCCCCGCTAAGGCATTCTGCAAATTCTCCATGCTATAGAAACAAATGGATTGGTGGCCAGTACTCTGGGCCAGTGGCTCTGGACACCCAACCCATTCCCCATCCCGTGCCTCGGCCATTCTAGGGTAACACCACAGCCTGCCTTGTAAATGACTATGCCCCCACACAGTGGCCAGACAACACGATCGTAGAACTCTGAGCCACAACCTCTGCAGCAATTCGCCCCAAGTAGTCAGGATTTAGTCACTGATTGTTAACTTCCCCAATTTGGGGATGGGGGAATACCAGGAATTGAACCTATCGGTGCTTAACCACTGAGCCACATCCCCCAGACTTTGAAAAAAATATTTTATTTAGAAGAGACAGGGTCTCGCTGAGTTGCTTAGGACCTTGCTAAGTTGCTGAGGCTGGCTTTGAACTCGTGATCCTCCTGCCTCAGCCTCCCGAGCCTCTGGGATTACAGGCATGCACCACTACACCCAGCAACTTCCCTATATTTTTGTTCCCACTTCCAACTCAGGACCAACCAGAGAAAAGTCAAATGTCCCAAACCAGTCATAGAAGATGCCTGCTTCTAATGAGCTCATCTCCAGCCACCTCACACAATACCCTCAGACTTGCAGCCGAAGTCTCCCCTTTTTCATGACAAATTTCCCACTTTCCCCGCCTGCCTTTGAGTCTCTGCAAAACACAAGTGATTTGGGGGGTCTTCTTTTTATTTCCACACTTGGATTCTCTGTACCTTTTCAGGTGAGCGAGATCTGCCGCCCGTCATTCTAAAAGGTCCTTTAAACATTTAAAGGACTTTTAGAATGTGAAAAGTGGGGTGATTCTGTCCAGCTGTGGATGTTTTAGAAGAGTTTCCTAGGCATTGAAGGATTGAGGCCATGACAGAGACGGCGCTCCCCTGCTGGGACCTAGTGACCTTTGTGTCACCTACATTACTGCTAAGCTCAAAATGTACATGGTGCACTTGGTGGTGGAGCTGAAATCTGTCATGACAAGAATTTGACATGGGCTGTGCTTTCTGGGAGCCAGAAGGTAGCGAATCCTGGTGTGGGGCTGAGTGGGCCTGGTCTGCTCACCTCTTCTGGAGCCTGGCATTTCTGCCTTCCCTTTCCAGTGGGTATTTCTGAGCCATTACCTTGAACTGGGCCCTGTCCCTGGTGCTAGGGCTGTGTGGACAAGGAAAGAAGTGCTACATCCTAGCATGGAGAGGTGGGCAGTAAACTGGGAAGGCATCAACATGCATTACAGTCTCAGAGAGGAGCCATGCCATTAAGAGAACAGAGCGGGGGAAGTTGATGGAAAATGACTGGGTGGAGATGGGGAGGCCGATTAGTCGCCTGAGCTGGAAATTCACCTTCCAGGTGGAGGCCTGGGGGTGGGTAGGGCTTGAAGACCAGAAAGGCAGCCACGTGTTAGAGTGCAGAGAATATAGGGTAGTGGGACCTAAGAAGAGGCTGGACGGACCCCTCTCCCCACAGCCTGGATCAGGTGGGGACTCTGAAGGAGCTTCCAGGACACTACTGCAGTTTCTGTGGCACAGAGGTCCTAAGTGTTGCCAGAGCCGGCCACGATTCAGCTGGGGGGTGAGACCCCAGCTTGGCCCCATGTGTGACACCCTTTCCTCCAGTGGTATCTAAGGACTGTGGGGTGAGTCTGAGCACTCTTTACAACCCGGCTGGGACCCCAGGCCAGATTCAAAGATGTTTGAACCCTAAGTGGGTTCTCCTGGATCTTGTGTGTGCCAGGGCTCTCCTGGGAGTGGGCGGGGTGTGGAGGAGGAGATGGATACTACCTGGTGGCTGGATGAGCTACTGTGCCCAGGTAGAGGCATTCTACATTTCCTAGCTTCGTGACGGGGCACTGCCTCCCTTTCTCCATCTGTATAATGGGCATTGTGAAGCTATGGTTATAGAATATAACCTTGAGTGTCCCTGCACAAACAATTCTCCACCATGATCCTTATTTTCCCCTGAGGTTTGGTCATAAATGTACTCCCCCAAAAGCAAAAACAATGAAAATAAAACACTGCTACTATCTTCCCTCTAGATAGCATCCATGCCTTCGTTCTGTGCCTGAGACCTGCTCTGTCCTCTGTTCCAAAAGGAAATTAGCAGGTATGAAGGAAGCATGAAAAACACGCTCAATAATCATAGCAAAACCTAAGCAGCACTTACTGTTAAGTATTTTCCATACATTAACCTATTTACCTCTACAAAGTAGGTTCATCATCATCATAACCCCATTTTACTGACAAGGAAACTGAAGCACAGAGCACTTAAGTAATTTGCCCAAGGCCACACAGAGAGTAATGGTGGAGCTGGGATTCAATCCCAGGCTTATGAAGCTCAAGTCATGCTTGTAACCATAACACTACGCCAGTGCTGAACTGCTTATCTCCTGAAAGAATGAGAGAAAGGACTGAGAACTTGCTCCTTATGTGATTCCATGCTAATCAACATCCTGCCCTTGAAAGGCACCCATTAATAGCAGGGTCCCTGTCCTTTACTTCAGGAAATGCTGCTCTGTCTCCTGCGAACACTAGATGTCACTCTTCTCATCTTTAAGGGCTGGCTGGGACCTCTGAGCTTGGGAGCATTTCACCTTCCATCTTCCTTGCATTTGAAATCATCTTTCATGTTGGAGGACGTGGATTTTAAGTTACTAATATTTGGAGATCTACTCTTAACCACATTTTAGATTTGGACTGCTCGTTACATATGAAAGTAGATGCTTTACATGGAGCGGTGTTGGGCAATTCTTTCCCTCTTTCCTACAACTCTCTATCAGAGAGGAAAAGGAGACTCTGAATATGGCTGATAAATTAAGAGTGGTCCTTTGTACACCTGGGAAGTCACCTCACATTTTGATATGAAGTTAGTTGGAATAAAGAGCATGCCATCAACATTTGAAATCACTGAAATATTTCTTCAGCATTTCAAGACGCTGTTGACCTTTCCTCATTTCCTTTTAATTAAACTTGCATTCCCATAAATGCTGAAACTTGAGAAAAGAAAATAGGACTGTTCTTCTGGTTGTTTAATTACCAACATTAGAATGGTATGGTTTTAAACGGATTACCATTCAAAGGTACCATATTTAAATTCTAGATATTCTAGTAGGTTAGCTGATGGTTGTGGGATAGCCTTGCACCTGACAACCAGCCATGGTGTCTCTTTCCATTGTAGAATGAATGTTCTAGACAGTCCCACCCCCTCTGGAAAGCAGCTTGCTAATACATGGAGAGTCAGCCTAATACCAAAGTCTGTCTATTCTAGAGCTTAATTCTGTCACGACTCTCTTGCTTTACCAGCACTTTCTGAAACAGAATTTTCTATCTAAATTTTAGGGAATCCTAAAATTAAAAAAAAAAAGTCTTAGGAAGGGGAACTTTAGAATAAAATACTTTACGGACTTTGACAACATGATCAGAATCTTGACAGACTCCTGAATATTTAATGATGTGGCCAAAAAGACTATAAAATTCCTATGAACAACAAAGATTTTCTTCATTCATTTCTAAAGGCAGGGGATTAGAGATTAATGCTTAATTAACCTTTTTCTTTTTCTTTTTTCTTTTTTTTTTTAGTCTGGGGATCTTATGTGAAGAAAGAAATACCCAGAGTTGATGGTGTTCTCTGTGCCCTAGCTGTGACATGTCACCACTCACTAAAAGTGCCTTGGTTTTTACCAGTAAGTCCTGGGTCTGGTTAACGTGGGTGACCAGTAATCCATTGTCTGGATTCTGGCTGGGTCCATTCATATTCTTCTGGGTCAATTGTTTCCTTGGATCTCTATCAGTGTTTTTCTTCATGCTACAAAACATAAAGTGATTAGATCAATGTCCTGGACATCGACTCTACACAACCAGTGCCTCCCTCTTTTCTTTTCTCTAGTTCCAAAAGGATTCCAAGAACATTGCTATTTCTGTGCAGGAACTGAGAGGGTGCCTGTAGAGTCCTGATCAGTTATGGACTTCAAGTTCGTGAGACATTACATCATACCGTTTTGGTGGTTAGATAATGAAAGCCCCCAGGTAGATAGATGTAAAATGTTGCAATAACCATTATCTGGTCTCACCTTCAAGGCAGACATTCCCCTCTCGATTCCCATGGGAAAAAAACATTGCTGTTGCTGTTTTTATTTGCAAAACCAGAGAATCCTGCTTAGGAATGATTTTCCAGAAATCTATTATCTTGACCATGGAAGACATGACTAATTTGAGTCCCATTATAAAAATAACCTACTCTTATTTTCCTAAGGAGGAAAAGAACACAAGAGGATAAACACAGCATGTAGACAATATTTTTGCGGGGTTTGCTCAGCTCAGCTATTCTTTAGTTACCAATACACTAAATACATATTGAACATCTAGTAGGTTTAAGGCATTGTGCTTTGTGCTAAGGATTCAAAGGTGAACACGGTGACAAGGGTTTCTCCACCTTGGCCTTCTGATGTTCGGGGGTGGAACATTCGGTTGTGTGTGTACATTGCAGAATGTTTGGCAGTGTCCCCGGCTGCTCCCTGTTAGATGCCACCAGCACCTTCCTCCTCCTTGAGATAAAAGCATCTCTGGACATTGCCAAGTATCCCCCTGATGATGGGGGCGGGGGGGAGAGGTGCAAAACTGACCCCGGTTCAGAACCAGTGAGATAGGTATTGTCCTTGACCTTGTGGGGTTTATATTCTAAAATTGGTCTGAAAAATCAAAATTACACACCGTGGCACACGCTGTGAAGGAAACAGGAGGCTGTCATAGAAAGGCATCAGGAAAGGAGCTCTTCTGCAAGGTGAAGTGGTGGGGGCAGGTGTCTTTTGAGCTCAGATCTTTTTGAAGGGTGAAAAGGAGAGTCCATGGGAAGGATGGGAAGGCAGAGTGAACAGCCGGTTTCCAAACCCTGAGGTGAGGAAGAGCTTGGCCAATCCAAGGAACTCACAGATGAGTTTGGCCAGATGGTAGGAATTTCAAGATGAGGAGAGTAGAATAGAAAGAATATTGAGATGAGATTGAGCTCTGAGCTCACCCTTGAGTGAGATCCTTCTGCTTTGGAAGGTACCGCTTATTGGAGGTGTATATCCAAGATGGATTCTCACTGGGAATTTGTTATTAGGAGCAGGAAGAGGCTCTCCAGGGGAAGGTGGAGGGGATGGTCATTTCTGCTTTCGTTTCTGTGGGGCCATGGTCTCTGGCTTCTTCCCTTCCTGCCTGCTCCTTCTCAGGCTCCTTCCCAGACTTCTCCTCTACCTGCTTTCCTGGAGACTAAGGAGGGTGCATGGCTCTCATGTCTCGTCTTACCAGGCTTCCACTGCCACCTATCCATGACGACTGCCATTTGTACATCAAGAGCTCAGATGTCCCTCCCTGACTCTAGAGCTGTGTATTCACTGACACTGGATATTTCCACTTGAAGCATTTCAAACCCAGTGTGTTCAACACTGAACTCATGATATTCCCTACAACACTCTCCTCTTTCCATTGTTTTCTACAGAAAAGAACCACCATCTACTTAGCATCTACTTACAGGAGTCAAAAATCTAGGAATTGTTCTTGACACTCACTCCTGATGCCATTCCATCATCTCATCCTGTTAGTTTTAAGACTCTCTCAAATTTCATCATTTATCTGTCTCCATGGACATTTCTCCAGTCCAGGCACTGTCACCTCTGTCACAGACACTGCAGTAGACCCTGGCTTGTCCCTCTAGGTCCTCTCAGCCCTCCCATCCAATCTGTTCTCTTTACCAACTGGAGTATCTTTTAAAAACATGAATCAAGATTTGTGCTGTCATCTTCTCCCTGTTGCTCAAAACACATCAAAGACTTCCCTTTTTCCCTAGGAGGAAGACTAAGATCCTTGAAATGGAATTTGAGGCCCCACAGGTTTGACTGCTGCTCATCAACCTCTCTAGACTTCCTACTTTCCCACGCACCCTCCCTTCTGTGTTCCACAAGGGCCCTGGAATGCTTCATAGTTCCTCTCACCCCAGGATCTTTGCATGTGCTGCCGTCTTTGCTTTGGAACATTCTCCTCCCATCCCTGTACTCTCCTCATCCTTATGTTTCAGCTCATACATGTTTCCTTTGGGAAAAGGCTCTAACATTCCATTCAAGTTCAGGTCACTTTGTTTTATATATTTTCCCAGGACGGTGTTCCTTTCTTTTAAATAGCTTGTCTTAATTTGGAATGATAAATACATTAGCATGATTTTTAAAGAAATGGCATGTCTCTCCCATGATGCTATTGTTTACCTGAGAGCAGGGACTGACAAACAATAAGTATTTTGAGGACGTGAGGATAAGGAAAGGAGGTTAAAAAACTGCCTCGACTCTTGAATTTCTAACTATTCATCCCAGGCATTTGGTAAGAATAGACTCATTTTTTGCTCTTGGTCTCTGTGAACCTGTTTCTTATAACTCTACTTTTTGGCTTAAGCTAGCTTATTTCAGTTTCTGTTACTTGCAACCAAACAAATCCTGGCTATGCCGCAACCTGTGAGACACTATGAAGTTGCAGCTCAAACATTAGTATATTCTCTTAGGAAATTGCTCCATGAAAGAGCTTAGCAATGGTTCAGTAACTGGCTTTTCACTTCTTTTATTTGGAAGATGCTTTATTATCTGGGAAGCACCAGGGTCATGTGGCAGTGTCTTAAATTAAAAACCCAAACTGGTTTGACTTCAGTGAGCTTTTCTGGAAATCCTATGGCAGGGACTGTTGAAACAGAAATGCCTGATGAACAGGGGCCCCTTCATAGGGTCTCAGTTCCTTATTTGCGGGGTGGTGGTGGTGATTAATGCTTTTTAAAATGCATTTGAGGCCTGTGAATGATTCTGGGGGCTCTTGCATGGGCCAGTGGAGGAGACCAAGCAATGTGGGGCCTGGGAAGAGCTCTGGACCTTGGGTTTTCTCATCTGCAGAGTGGAAGAGGGATGAAGTAACCGAGGGCCTACTTCAACTTCACTGTCAAGAGGATCGAATGAAATCAAGTTTGAGAAAGTGCTTTTCAAAATACAAAGTACTGTAGAAATACAGAATGCCACTAAATATCTGCCGCCTTGAAGCACTTCAGCATGAGACTCCTAAGCACTTATTCCTTTCATGAATATTTCAAGTGCCTTCAGGGACCCAGAGAGAGCTGGTACTGGGGAGTAGGATGAACTGTCACAGCCTTACCCTCAGGCCTCTGTACAGAGTCAAACAGGACCCTCCACCCATTTTAGTGTTTTCCATAGCAGACTTCACCATCTGACCTTCTGTATGCCAATGGTCTACTCCTTCTGTCCCAACCTGAGCACACTAGACGTGAGCTCCCTGCGGGCAGTGACTTAGAAATGACCACTGCTAGAATACTTTTACAGTGCCTAAAACATAGTAGCTTCTTAAAAAACAAAAAGGCACTTATTGAACAAATGCTTTAAGGGCAGGCCCAGAATTTGGGCAAAGGTGGGCCATATTGCCCAGGGAGAGTGGCTAGAAGAGAAGGGAAAGTACAAACTGGTCCATGGCTGTTGGCATTTTGGTCAAAGGGATGGAGGAAGTGCTGATTTGGGGATAAAAGAAAACCTTCAGCTAACTTTCTGATTTATTAACAGCTGATTCTCCTAAATATTCATCCAGGATAAAGCCATCCCCAGGGTTTGTGCTTTTAACTGCAGAATTGTCTCATGTCTTGTCCCCAGCCAATCATGTTGCCAGAATGATTTTTTCCTAATATGCAGAGTTCCTGCTATCACTGCCTGTTTAGAACTCTGCCATGGCTCTAAGTCAAACAAGTCAGACCTTCTTCCCGAGAACCCCTATTTCCACATCTTACTATTTCATACCTACCTGTGCTCAAGCTGTTCTCAAAATGCCCCTTTCCTCTTTCATCTGGCAATAAACTCAGTAAGTTCCTTCAGACTCCTATTTGCTATCCCAAACTCCGTAGCAGAAACCCTGTGGAAGTCTTGTTTGCTATTCTATTTCATATCAAGTTGTCATGGTGTCTCCCCAACCAGCTTCTCTATTGCATACCCTCGGCACCTAGAACCAGGCTTGGCAGGCAGGGAGCAGGGACTTAAGATCCCAGGCTCCCTAAAGCTTTCTTGCTCAGTCAAGGAATTAGCATCTGGGCCTCTCCTGCCCTCTTTCTTCCAAACCCTGTCCACCCTTGGGACACTCACCTGCCTTTATTTGCATTTCCTTTTATTTCTCCATCTGTGGGAGAAGGGTCTCTGGCACTCCAGGGCTCTGCTTCTCCTGCTTCTGATTTCTAGTTGCTCCAAGCTCCTCTAAGCAACTCCATAGGGGAGCCTGCCCTGCAGGAAGTGTTAGCTGGTCTCCAAGGCAACCGACCAAGCCACTGCAGCTTGGGGCAGGGCAAGGGGAAAACTCTGGCCCCAGGGAAGAGTTATCACCTCTTTGTTGTTAAGAACCTCTCCCAGGCAATCTACTTTCACCCTCACTAGATCCTAGAAGCAGGATTTGGATCTCTTTTCTATTTTTAGAACCTCTGGGTCAGCAGAGGACTATGGTTTAGACCTGCTGTTTTCTTGTGGTAGAAATGGAAGATACCAGAGAGCCTGTAATGAGCATGAAAATGGAGATCTTCTCCTTAGACTCCCTAGGTCTCCCTGGGAGAAGACTGACAGTCTCCACCCCCACCATGCCCAGTCCTGCCCAAGCCTGGCTAATATGGCAGCATGCTCAGTGACCTCTTAGCATCACAAGACAATTATCTTCTACAGTGGTTCCTAGACCTGGGTGCCCATCCGAATCACCTGGGCTGTTTGCTAAGCAAGCATGTACATTCTCACGCAGGCGATTGATTAGAACTGTGGCCATTGTGGGAGCATGAACCTTTAACAATGGTCTCAAGTGATTATGATGTAACCAGGTCCTGGCCCATCACTGGGGGCCTCTCTAACCCCTTCTTTTATAGAGTTCAAGAGAAATGAAGTGATGAATCCAATGTCAACCAGCTTGTAAGTGGCTAAGGTATCTGCACTTAGTTTTTCTTATCCAGGTAATTTCTCAAAATCAGTCTTCAGTTTCTGAACCTTTAATAAGAAGTTAGAACATGTGCAGTCTGTGGTAGTTATCATGTTACAGTTGTCCTTTAGATGTTGAGCCCAGCAGCGTCTCCTACAGGCCAGGTCAGGAACAACCACACTCCTCAAAGTAGAAACTTGATCCAGCATGTTACTTGGGCAGTCATGGGCTGGGAGCACCATGTGTAAAGCCAGGGTATTTAGCATTTAGCAACACCACCAAGAGCGAGATCAGAAAGAAGGGACTCACAGGCCACAATAACCCATGGCTACTCTGTGAATAGGAGGTGAGGATCTTGGTGCCCACCTTGATGGAAATCCTGGGTGGAAGAGGTGGGCTAATTTTGAGACACAACTTTGTGAGACATGGCAGGTCATCTAATACTCTCATTTCCCTGGGTCCCTGGATACATGGGTTTTTAATGTTTTACAAGCCGTAAAACTCAGTACTGAAAACTCTTGTTATTGCTTTCTTCTACTCGAGCTTACATGACACACATTCTGAATGTTCTTGTGCAAAATGGATAAAGCAGAGTAAGATTTTCAGGTTGACCAGCCAAGAAGAAGCTGTGTGTGGGTACCATTTTTCTCAGCTCCCCTCAGAATGTAGACTGATTGGCCCCATGTAAGGCATCAGAGCATAACAGGAATTTCTCCTATTTGAGGCTCTTGGGACCTGATCAGGGTCAACTCATATTCCATGTGAGAGCTGGTAACATTTCCCTAGGCATATGGAGAGACCTTTTTGTGTGTGTGTATGTGTGTGTGTGTGTGTGTGGTTACTAATTTGTGTTTTCCTTTATTTCAAGCCTTCATTTCAAACTAGGGGGCAGGTGCTTTTTGTTGAGTGGAGAAGCAGCATGAAGTCAACAGCTCTGTCTTTTGTAAAAGTCTCAGCTCACTAAAAGATTCAAGGGACATGCTGAGGCAGGGAAGGTAAGTGATGTGTTAAATGTCAAGTGGCAGTGTATCAAAATCCTTTCAATTAAAAGACAGAAACCTGCATCAAAGTGGCTTCAGGAAAAAAAAAAAAGAATTTATTTGTTTAAATAATAGAAAAGCCAGGGATAGTTCTGGATTCAGGCCTGACTTGACCCAAAGGCTAAAATAATGTTAACAGAACACCCATCTCCATTCCTCAGCTTCCTTTCTTCTGTGATTGATTGATTCCTAGGTAGGCTTTTCAGGTGTGGCTGGCAAACTTTGGACCCAAGCAGTGCCAAGCTTCTCCCCAACTGAGCAACCCTAAAGAAACAACATTTCTTTCCAGTTCCAGCGAGTTCCAGGCTTGGCTTCTTGGTTATATGGCACACTCATTCCTGAGGGAATCACTGTGCCCTGATTGCCCAGGCCAGCTTCTGTGTCCAGCTTTGGGGCCAGAAAGTGAAATCAGCCCACAAAGCCACATAGCCTGAGGTAGGAAAGGAGCAACTTTCCAAAAGAAAGAGGATGTGGGTACTAAGCTAACATGCCTCTGAAGGAAGCCAAGGGGAGGGAGATTCTCCTAGATGAACAGAGATCTGAAAATGAGAAGGAGTGGAGGCCTCTCAGTGCTGGGTAGCAAGGCCTTGGTGAGCCACAACCTAAGAGGACCCATGAGTACTCAGTGCACTCAAAACCATAGGCACAGGAGGTCCCCAGCTCACCACTGTATCATGCCCCAAGTATGGGACATCTGAGGCCTTGGCAGTAATGTGTGGATAAATGACTGGGGGGGGGGGGTTTCTTCCTAATGTTTGAGCCATGGACCTCTGCAAAACTTAGGGTACCCTAATAAATTCCCTACCCAGAGCACAGAGGGGATCTATTGATTTTTAAGTGCTATGGAGGGGTGTGTGGAGTAGCCTGTCTGGGGAAATTTCCATGGATGCTTAAATCCAAGAGCTCCACAGAACCCAACAGATGACATCACTAGTTTTACCAGTGAAGTACATCGACACTATAAAATGCCATTAAACAATGATTGTAAAGAGAAAGCTTGACAATGAGATAGGAATGATGGAAGAGTAAATACAAACAAGTTGGTTTTTCCTACTTTTTTTTCCTTACAGCAAAGTAGATAATATTCCAAAGTTGTTTCTAAATAGGGACTACCTTTTATGGTTCCTTGCATCTCACATCCAGAAGCAGCAAGCCATAGATTTAGCTGCTCGTGTTTGAGCCAAAGAATCATGCAACTGGGACAAGCTATTTTTATTTCCTTTAGACTAGACAAACTGGCCATGTGCGACAGCAGAAGGAGCCCTAGATCTGAAGTCAGGGAACCTAGGCTTGAAACTCAGATTGACCAATGACTAGTTAGTTACAGAACCTTGGGTAAGTAGTTCACCTTTTGATCCCTAGTTTTCTGGTCTATAAAATACCACCTCTGATGACACAGGAAGAGGATTAATTAAGATGACATGGAAGAGCAAATGACACGTGAATTTAATGTTCTTTCTGTAAACTTACTGAATGCTACTATTACCTAACCACAGCACTTTTGAAAATATGAATTATCTTAATAGAGTGGTTGCTATGCTTCAGTTAGATTATCAGGTTATTTTGATATTTGGGAAGTTTTTGTAATTAAGACCTAAGCTCACCAAAGCATTATTTATATTAACAAAAACCTGGAAACAACCTAAATTTATGTAAAATGGAATATTATGTAGACTGGGGAAGCAGTGGTAGATACATATATGATATTGCTTTTGTTAAACTGAAGGGAGAGTAAAGTATCTGTTGGAATGCTCAATAAACTAGTATTAATGGTTCTCTGGAAGGTGGATTGTGGGTGTGGAAACTTTTAACTTCCTGTGTTCCTATTTTGGACTTTTTGGGTTTGTTTTTAAAAGATTTTTTTTACAGATATATGTTATAAAAAGAAAACCCTTTGTGCCAGTTTAGGGTCATGATCACTTCCTTCATGATAGCTCTTTGAGACAAGAAAAAGTTGTCAATTACCCTAAAAGCAGAAATACAGTCACGTACTAGAACAGTGAGTATAGGGTAGGATTGCAAACAATAAGTCCACTATGCTCATTTAATTGGTAAAATATACAGGTGGTCAAATCTTTTTTAGATGTGTAGATTCATTTTTTTTTTTACCCTAGAGCAATTATGGATAAGAAAAGATTTTTGTTGTTGTTGTTCTTCCAGTGCATTTGCATTGGCCACAGAAAACACAGCAACACAAAAGAAAAAGTTTTAATTTTTAAAGAACATATGTGAGTTGTCTTAGACAGTTTTAAATATTTAAACACGAGAAAGGGTGCCAGAGTCAGTACATGGCATTTATTTTACTGACTTGCCCTGACAGATAACAAATGGAGAGTGATTTAATAGTGACCACATATCACTGGCAATATTTATTAAAATACCTTAAAATGGTCAATTGGAGAAAACCACATCTAAATGAAATCAAACTCTTGAATCTATTCCTTTTAGCAGAAATAATTAAGAACATCTTGGCAAGACCAAATCTTTGCAAAACATACCAAATGTAGGGCTTCGAGACAGCAGAGAACCCACAAGCTTGAAGAAGCCTCCAGAGAGTTCTCTCAAGATCAACAGGACACTTGCATCATCCTGTTCCTGTTTGTATCAGCAGCAATGTGAGAGCCGAGTTCAGTAAGAATCTTGAGTCCACAAGGAAATCCTGAGATCAATGAAACTGACATATTAAATGGGGACATACCCACTGATAAAGTAACTACACTAGATCTAGACCAGCCTCTGCCTTCAGGAAGAATTTTACTGAAATAATTCTAGCAAATAGGTAACTGGGTCTTTTAAATTTCCAGGAAATATGGTTTCATAAATTTCCTTTATAATCTATCCCTGAATTTATATTACATATATATATATATTTTTTTTTTTTTGCTTTAGTTGTCAATGGAACTTTATTTTTATTTATTTGTATGAGGTGCTGAGAATCGAACACAGTGCCTAACACATGCTAGGCAAGCACTCTACTATTGACCAACAACCTCAGCCCCTGAATTTAATCTTGATAATTCAATTTCATAGGTAAAGCATTGTGCCAGGTCTCTCAGGAACACGAGAAAGCCATATTCCTTGCATTCTAGAGTTTATAATCTAGTTAAAAAAAATGTTTTAGTGATAATAGCAGCAACCAACATTTGAATGCTTACTCTGTACCTGGCACTTGGTCTCATTTAAACAAACAATAGCCCCATAAGTAGGTATGGTTATTAGCCCCATTGTATAGATAAAAAAACCAAGGCTCACAGACCTTGGTTAAATGATTTGCCTGAAGGTCACAAAACTAAAACTGTGAACTGAGATTTGAATGCAGGGGTCTACTCCCCTCCAGTACTGTTACAGAGGAATAAGCAAAAGGAAAACAAAGGATTAGGTATAGTTCAACACAAGCAGGATTAAAGAAAACCACCAGAAGTAGACAATGCAGACACAGCCACAACAGCAAGCAGGTTGTAGTCAGAGAATGGAGAGCAGGCTGGTTGTCAGAAAAAGTAAACAGTGAGGAGGTTGAGGAGGCCGCTCAAAGCCTAGTCATGGAGAGTTTTCTATGCCAGCTTACCGGAGTTGGGGCTTTCATCTGCGCAATGGGAATGACAAAAATGTGAATGAGGACGTAATACACTTCATTTAAAGAATATTTTGGCAGAATCCACTTGGAGTGCTAGGAATCAAACCCAAGGCCTCACCCATGCCAGGCAAGGGCTTCTACCACCGAGCCACACTCTGGGCCCAACAGAAATGACTTGGTGGATGAGCATCAGATGAAGATGAGCTGAAGACAGGTGGGTTCAGATGGCTGTAGAATGAGAATATTTGTCCTAGGATCAATGTGCATTTGTCAAAGACATTCTTTCCTATGTTGAGGGCTCTGCTGAGACCTAGTCGAGAGACTTTAGGAAAGTCAGAAAGCCTTTCTGAGGCCTCAATTTCTTCATCTGAAAATGGAAACCCTGGACAAGCTCTTTGAGACTTCATCCAACTATGAAATTTTGGGTTTCATGAAAAATCTCTTCTTGAAACTCTTGAAAATTAATCTTAGGTGGTCTCTGTCTATAATTAGAACTGGGGTTGATAGGCACAAACCTTGATTGTGCTTGAAAATATCATCCTGTGGTATTTTCCTCTTCTGGGAAAAGAACCAAAACTCTAAAAAAATAATACATTATACTTTCTATCTTTAATACCACTTATAAATAACTGCCTTTACTTTGTTGCTGGGTAACTGTGACCCACAAGAGAAGCCACAGTCCTCTCATTTTGGAGTTTCCCCCATAATCCCATAGGGCAGCTAGAATAGAACTGATGGAAGACTTAGTCAAAAATAAGGTATTTTTTGAGCACGTTATTGTTAAAACTATGCTGCTGCCTTTTCCGAAGAAAAGGAAAAAGTCTGGTATATGCCTACCATTACAGTTACCAATTGACCTATTCATTAGTGCTTATCAAAAAGAACCCTCTTGAGTACCTCTAATCGGTGTTATGTATCAGAATAAGATCTGGATAGTGTGAAGATTGAGTGACCTAATGACTACCCTAGTTTGCCTGGATTTTCCCCCAAAAAGTCCCACATTGTGGGAATCCCTAGGTCTCAGGCTACCTGGAATGGTTGGGCACCCTATGAAGATGATTTCAAGTCCCAGAACTCAAAACCATCTTTTACCATGTCTTAACCCTTAACACCCCAGGAGGCTCTTGGAAAAGGCATATAAAGAAGAAACAGCAGTGAAGGTGAGATATTCACTAGTTGTTATTGTGCTGGGCTAATCTTGATACCTCCATAGAGGGCTCTAGTAAGGCTATAATGTGGGGTAAATGGACCTGTCTAAAGACCAAGGGCCTTTATCTCGTTCTTTCAACCCACATTTTAAGATCTTAGAAGCTAAGATCCTTTGGCGTGAAGTAAAAGTAGACACAGCAGAAGACTGAAGCCAAGATAGAGCTAAGTCTATATGCAAGAAAGAAAAGAAAGATGGCTGGTTTTCCGGGCTTTGGCTCAATTTTTTTCCTCCTAGTTCATGGAAATTTGATGCAGAAGACAAATCCACGTGTATGTGGTGTTTTATTGCTAAATGGCTCTTCTTATTACTAAACATGGCATAATCAGTGACCTGGAATATTAATGGCAGCTCTGACCTAGGAGTGAGCTAGGAGTGGAAGAAGAGAGGGAACCCTTCCCCACCACAATGCTAACAAGAGGCATGGAAGTGTCTCTGTGTATATATGTGGAACCTCTATAAGAAATTAATTTTTTAAATCAAAGCTTATGCAAAGTAATAGAAGCCTTTTTAGTTTCTTTAGTAGACAATTTATTTTGATAAACTTGCTCAATAACAAAAATACAAGTGAAGAAAATTATGTTCATTTTATACAGTTGTATTAACAATTGTTTTGAAACTATTAATTGAAAAAATGTCAAAACCAATTAGAAAACAATTCTTAATAAAGTTTGGGATAATATACAGACCTTAATCACAAACTTTAAAATCTCTTGAGGTGATACAACTACAAGTCCTGTGTAGTGAATTCTGCCTACACAGGCCATTTTTTTCCTTCATGTATCTTATCCTTCAAAATTTTTCTGAAAGACAGCTTACTGTTTTGAACTGTGAATGCAAATTTAATTTTTAAAAGAAGATCAAAGTGGGTTGATAAAGCGGTTACTATAGTAAGAGTAATTTGTGTCTACTAGTCTTATAATAAAGACAAATTAAATGCAACATGTTCTTCCCATGAAGCCCACGATGCAAAATAATAGCTAACAATATATCCAAAGTTACCTTTCAATACTTTTTTTCTGGGCCTTTCTCTAAATCAATAGATTGTTTGTCACCAGGACTATTTAGTATTTCACTTAAGAGATTAAACAGTGATTTCATAGAACATCAAGTGGAGATATCAAAGCTTTAGGCAAAAGGGTAAAAACCAATAGTGTTTTGGTCATCTAGAACATTAAAAAGAAAAAAAAAAGCCATCCTTCAAAAACAAAACAGAAAATAGGTTAAGAGGTGGACAAGTCAGAAAAATCACATTCACATGTTAACAACATAGAACATGGATTACCTTTGGAAAGAATCATACTGAAATGTTTACTTTTAATGAACTTAATGTTTTTATGTTTACAGGTGTCTAGGCATGTTCGATAGGAGCTTCCAAAAATTTCAAACTAATTCAGTCTTGTGCAAATAAAACGAAAAGATAGTTTTCAGCATTTTACAGTGATATTCTTAGGTATGAGAAGAACGTACTCTCTAAAAACAATGTAACAGACAAAAGTTGGACAAATGATTGCACCATAAAACCGTGTTTTATATACAGTTTACAAGATATGATATCCTGCTATAAATTAATACTGTACTATATAGTACTTATTATAGTGACCTTTTTAAAAGCAACTGCTGACAGTTGACTATCTTTTCACTTACAGGATTTATAGAAAGTTATATGAATGAGTCCATTTCAATGTTTGGTCTGGAAGAGTACAAAGACTTGACCTCACATACTACTCAATGAGATGGTCTTAATCCTGGGTTAGCATGCAGACTGGCTAGAGGAACTTTCCCTCTATCAGTCCTTTATGCACTGGACCTCCAAGACAATGATGAAACCAAGGACAATTTAATGGTTTGGGTAATAGATACAAATAAAACCTTAAATTTTGTAATCTTATATGCAATACCACTGTAAGTGAAAGAAGTAAACAGTGGGGAAATTCTTAGCAGCTGAGAAACTTTCTCTCCCCATGCTCATGATCCAGTTAAAAATATTTTGAGAAACTATTTACAATAAAATCCATCTTTTGGAAGAGAAAATCTCTTGGTTATACCATAAATTAATTTGAACCATACTTTGCTAACACTATATCAGTGGTATAAAGGTGACAACCAAAGCTTTCCTTTAAAGTGTTCCCTTTGATTTGAGGACCTGTCAAATCACAATGGGAAATGCAATCCCAAATGTCCACATGTGTCCGGTGGTACTCTTAGAATTGACTAGACATCACAATACGTGGGGAATGGTCTCCCTTGGGTTTTCCAAAGGTTTTTTTTTACCTGGGGAAGGTAAAAAGGAAAAGTATGACATTCCCTCAGAACGCTCAAGGAACACACCCAGGGGTGGTCCAACACCCCAGCCCATCGTTGACTCAAGAGTGAGCTGAAAATGGGGTTTTCATTCACAATGAAACACTGTAGAATTAACAGTAAGATATATGAATACCAAACAAGCCAGTGTGAAACACATTGAGCTCTTCCATTTCATACTCTGAATATCTGAGGAGGTAGCCCCATCTCTGAAGGAACCATTCTGTAATTTATAAACTATCTTCTTAAGAAACAGTGCATTCATTCCTGCTTGTGTGAAGCATGGGCTACATGAGACTGTCTCTATTATACTGACAGGGACATCTGGGTTGCCATTTCACTAAAAAGAGGAAAAACTTAGCTCCATTGCTGTGAAAACACCCTCCTGTCCACACTTCGAACAGGAGATTATCTATGGTGCTCACCAGGAAAAACAACTAAGCTTTGACACGAAGGCATGGAAATGTGGAGAAGAGAAATACTGTATTTTAAAACCATTTGTGAGTTCAAGCATTGGCTACAATGCTTTTTTAAGGAAAAAAACTTAAAGCTGTGGGTTTAGTACAGCCCTTTAAAATAAATGCAAAAAATGTTAGCTTTTAGCAAACAAAGGCATACAGCAAATAAAGAAAATATTGTATTGCTTGAGTTTTTGGTAAAGGTATGTGAATAATGCTTACAGATAAAAGAACATAAACATTAATTTTTATGGCAGAGTGAAATTAATGTTGTAAGTAGTCAAAAAAGCCAGATGTTTGCTAGTGAACTTTGTATTTACGTAAAGTTGTGTGCTTGAACACATAAAATGCATTATTAATGTAACATACCAAGCCAATAGAAAAAAGAATCTCTATACAATAGACAACAATTTCCAATAATTTAAATAGTGTTAGATTCCCCAAATTATAAGGTTTGACATGATCTTACCTACTACTATCATATACAAATAAATTAACCTACAAAGAATTTTTAGCTTAACTTAAAATTACACCTAGAAAGGTATGGGATTATTTGTACCTATTACAAAAACCGGTTAAAATCAAGGGCTGCTACAAAGAATGAGGTAAACTGAAGACTCTCTCCACTATGCAGCCTTCAGATAAATGGCTTTTTTTCTATTGAGTGAGTTCTAGGTTTGCACACCACAGTGTTTGCTAGCAAAGCATTCAGAGTTCTCTTCCAGGAACTGTTTGCATGTGTGCATATATAAACTTACACACACATACACACACACACACACATATACACACTGTATACTGCATCAGCAAAATATATATATTATATATATATTTATATAAATATAAGGAAGATTTTCCCCACCCACCCACCCCAAACAACATGTCTCTTAGTGTTTTGATTTTTTTTTCCTTTTCTTTTTGTACATAGAGATTAGGGAATTTCAGAATTTTTACATACATTTTAGCAAACACATTTTGATCTATTGGCTTCTCGGTGCAGTAATGCAACGGTAATCCGTTCTGGTGCCAAAGGCTCATACCATTACAAGGAAGTTGTGAACACTAATTTCTTAGGAGGTGAGGCCAGCCCCACATGAACTTCTTTTGCATCCCTCTGGTCCACCATGATTCATAAATACTTAGACTTTTTTTCTCAAATGAATCATTAGACGTTAAAAACGGAACAACAGAGTCACAAAGGGCCACATGCTTTTCAGTGTAAAGCATTCTCCTTCACTAGGTTGCTATCACAGTGCAGACTGACTGCCTGAATATGCTCAGGAGATTTAGTCATTATTGTCTGTATTTGGTTATGGAAAGGCTCTCGATTTTTTTTTTTTAATCCAAAGTGCATAGTGAGAACAAATCAAAGCATTTTTTCCTTTTTAGCATCAGTTTCACCTAAGCATTTTCCTATGAGAGGACAGCTCAGATGCCTTGTCTTTGTCCTCCCACCCTCTAAAAATAAAAATAAAAAATAAAATAAAATAAAAAATAATAGAATCAAGCAGTTTAGACATTCATCAGCCTGGTAAACAAACTTTGCCAGCAAATAGAAGTCCTACTATTGTAAAGAAAATTGATAAGACAAAAAGTACATATGATGACCCAACTACTGTGTTGTTGGGTAATTTATAAGGTTGACCTCCGACTTCATTGATGTAAAATCCTATTGGAAATATTAGGGCAGCCATACAGAAAAGGATCACTGTAAAACAAACCAAAACACAACATTAGTAACATGGTTTGGTGATTATAAAAACAATGAAAATTTGGCACAAAAAAGTTTATAGGAATTATAGATTGATAACAAGGTCAAACCTATTAATAACATGGACCATTTATCAAATACAGCAAAAGCTGAGTTAGCCCTTTATGAAAGTATTAGGATGATTCTGAATTACCAGAAATAAGATGGATACTCTCCAAACTTACTAAGTACTCAATATCCTGTTCTTAGCTATTTAAACTACTAATTAACTGGCTAGCCTAAGTTCTGACCCTACTACCTACCAACTATGCAATCATAGGCATCTGCTTTCTTCTGAAATAGAGGGAAGTATCAGAAGGATAAATAAAATAACTTCAAGCCCCTGGCCAGTGTCAGGTTGACAGGATATACTGAATAAACATTACATACTATTATCATTACAGTTATTATTCTACCAACTCTCTGCTCCTTGAGGTATTAGAAGAAACTGGAGAAAAGGTACATAAAAATAAGTACCATTTATCTTATTCTGATTTTCAATCAGCTAGTAAAAGAACATCAGATCTTTGGGATGATTATCAAATTGTCAGCGTGGTTATCTCTATCATGGACAAAGTTCCAAAAAATAAACTAAAATCTGGCAGAAAGCTTTCTATTATTAACTAAACAAGAAACCTTTTCCAAGTTAAACCTATTGCCAGAATACTGAGAGTGCCCTGGATAAATATATCATCCAGGAATGCTTGTCTAAGTATGTGGGGAGAGAACAGAATTTCATGAGTCCTTAAAAAACCAATTAGGAATCATTTCCTGGATGGAATATCTCCAAGAATATATATTAAAAAGTAGCATTTGCTTAAGTAATATACCACTTAAGAAACACACCAGCACTCCACTTTGTACCACTTGGGTAGATAATTTTATATTGTATAAATAAGATTATTTCATCTTTGGTAAATGACTACACCAAAAAATATTACATAAGTAAACTTGCATGCATTCTGATACCTACTATAGAACAACTGAACAATTCAGGCATTAAAACTTTAATTATTAGAGTTCTTGGTCTTTTTGTTGTACTGTTAACAATAAATAACTATTAATGCTGTCAATGCCCACTTACCACTGTTATCTGTCATCAATTTATAATGCTTCTTATGGCCTACTAGTTTCGTGAATAAAATGCAACCACAATCTAGGTATCTATACATAATCTAGTAAAAAACAGCAGGACAATTGTTTTAAAAACATTTCTTTTTCCATAATGTTGACTAACTCAAGAAACACACAATTTAGAAGAAAAGTGCTTCAGAGATGTACATATTAAATTTGTTGTTTCAACTAACGTTGCAACTTCATGCTTATCTTTTCCATTTTCCACTTTAAAATCAAAATTTACCCTTATAAGTACTCATTTAATGGCTACCGGCAGAATTTAGCATTTTCAAGAGTTAAAATTTTCCAAATTACTACAGAAACTTAATAAAATTTTAAGGAAGCAATGAACTCCTATTCAATTGAACCTTGGTTTTCAATCCTATGAATCAGGTTCCCTATAATGCCTGGGGACCAGCTTTAATGTAAATTGATGAATTTTTTTTTTAAGCTACTAAGAACTGTGAAGTTACTTAAATCTTAACATTATTATTAACACTGATAATATCTATCACCTAAAGCTTATGAAGACATAATTTCATATCTTCCAAGGCATAGAATCTCTGGTGGTGGGAATGAGAAATCAGGGATCCTGGCAGCTGAGGTGTAAATCAGGGCAACAAAGGAAAGAGCAGTATCAGACTTGGAGAAGAGGACTATCTTTGTTTTTCTTGCCCTCAAGCAAGGCTCATCATGTGGGGCTCATCATGTGAGGAGACATACATCCTCACTGCACACAGGCATCAGAAAGTGTTACCCTTCCATTATTACAAAAACTACAGCCTTCACTGGAATAGAAATACATACATTAGAGATAAAGTACATCTACAATGGCTGCAAGGGAACACTAGGGGGAGCCCAATTCCTCTCAGAACTGCCACCCCAGCTCACTAGCTCCGCTACTGGAAAAAAATGCATTAAAGGAAGGTAAGAAGAGCAAGGCAGCTCTATACTCACTTAAAGGAAAATAACCCCAAGATATATTAAACTAAAAACCAGAAGTCTAGTATAATTTGTGAACATTTTTATATAAATATATATATAAAGAACACACACACATAAGCATGTATGTTTCTATGTACAGAATGCTTCTAGTAGGAAAATTCACAAACTGGTAACAGTGATCACCTCCAGGAAAGAGGTTACCAGGTGGCTGAGTGACAGGACAACAAACTTCACTCGGTTACCCTTTCACTGACTGAATTATGTAGCATGTGCATATGTAATTTCAAAAAGTTAGATTATTTAACTAAAAAAGATTACACTGCATTGGGAAATAACTACACATACTTAAATATTCTCTGCTGGAAGGCAGTAAAAAATAAACATAATCTTACATTTACATCAGGCAAACTAATAGCTCATGTGAGCATATTAGTGCTTTCTTTGCTTCATACAACTTTTCTAAATTATAGTTTAGATTTTTGGTATTCAGAGCATATATCCTCCCAACTTTCAACTAATTGCTGAAACTAAACCCTTCTTTGGTATTATTTTACTCCCAAAGAGTGAATTCTATCTGCATAAATGGTTCTATCTATGAGGAAAAGACAAAAAACAAACAAACAAAAAAAAACCTGTCTTCTCTTTAAATTACTCATAAATATTTTCAAACTTAAAAATGAAATTTAAATTTTTAAATTTCAGCAGCCTGATCTCCACAACTGCTTCTGGCCCTTACTCTTAGACAAGAACTATCTCTGGAGGTCTCTTTGAATTGTGTCACATTGATTAACAAGAGTGGAGAAGCTTTTGGGTTTTTAAAATTTTTTTAATGTCAAAGGCAATTTGCTTGATCTACATCTAAAATTAAGGGCAGTGGAGAGTGGAAAGACTAAAATAAAAAACAAAGCCAGAAAAATAAAGAGAAAGTTTCACCAAAAGTTAGGGAGAACAGAGAAATGAAGGAATATCACTATCTTACAGCCTTAAAGATAGTTTTAACTGAGTTTTACCACTAATAGGGATCCTTGAGATTATCTCTTACTCTAATCACCCTAGTTCTAAATAATGATATCACATGAAATGAGCAGTTTTAACAGACATTTTTAGAAACTTATACAAACCTGAGATGATTTTAAGACACTGAATTAGAAGTGAAGTATCAATGTCTGGCACAGGTATTGCCATCCTATTTCTTTATGGCAGGTTTTCTCAGTAGTGGGACTACTGCCATTTGGGGCTAGAGAATTCTCTGTAGCTGGGGGTCCTGTCCTGTGGGTTTGTAGTTTAGCAGCATCCTGGTCTCTACACACTAGATTCCAGCAGCACCCCCTAGTTGTGACTATCAAAAGTATTTTTAGGCATTGCCAAATGTCTCCTGGAGTGCAAACTTGCTTTAGAGGGAAAGAAATAAGAAAGCAAAATTATAGAAGTAACTTTTCTTTGTGCATTTATGTTTTCAACTTGGGATAAGCTTCTGATGTGTTTTGAAATAAAACCAATTTTTCAAAGTATAAGAGAATGTATAATATATAATTTTATCACACCAATGGGCATAGCTTAATAGAGTAAGAAATGTTGGTAAATAATCATTAAATAACCAAATGTGCTGATTTTCCAATGGTTATACAATACACAGCAGAAATTCAGTGATATCAAATAGCAAATAACCACTTTTATCTAGTCTATGTTTTTATAGTTCTTCTAGATTTATCTTTATTTTGATAGAAGATACCAAAACCATCAAGAAGAGGAAAAGACTCAAGCTTTGGTAGCTCCGAGTCACGGACCTGGAATACTTATGTCACAATGTAAACAAAAATAAGATTCATCAAACTTGCATTGCATACAAGGCAATTAAAGTTGTGGATGTCCTGGTCTTGTTGTAAGAGTTTTGAAGAACTGATAGGACTGTGGAGGATCTGTCTCAAGGCCATATGCAAGTGTTGCTCTCTGATGATTACTGAGTCCTTATTATTGATTCTTGATTATCTTCATAAAAATACTACTGTGCGCACCTTCTAGACAACTTAGTAAGCACAGGCTACTTACTTCCAGTGAATGCTATCCATCGAGCATATTTTGTAGCTTCTCTTCGCCAGTGGGAAGCCACCAGCAAACCACATGTGACAGTCAATGAAATGATTCCCATGATGATAAAAAACAGTGTGGTGACCCACTCTGGGGGCAGCCGAGGAGGGATGCACGTCCGGTCTCGTCCATGGATTGTTTGACACTGTCGCACTAGCCCCACAGTGAGTGCTCCTGGGAGGACGCAAAAGGTGGGGATACTTTAGTGGGTCTGGTAAGCAGGGGATATTCCCTTCTCCCACCCTTTGGTCCTTTGGGTGAATTAACTACAGAATCATATATCTCTACATACAGACATATATCTCTGAATATGTCACCCAAGTACTTAAGTCCCTAGTCATTCATAATGTAGAAATGCCCGGCTTGACATACAAACAAACAAAAAACCCCAAATTGAAAAACTTTGCCGAAGTTTTTGTAGCTTGTTCTGTCATTCATTCAACAATTTTCTGAGTACATGTATAAGGCACTGCCCTAGGCTCTCAGGAAACAAGAGTGATTGATATAGATGAGGTCCCTCTCCTATGGAGCTTGCATAATAGCAGAAAGAACTGGAATTTTTCTATCCCCAGTTTCAAGACTCATTGCATATTACTTTATTTTGGTTGAGGAGAAAATACTAACATGTTTAATCATAATATATAAATAAAATTAAATAATGGATTAAATATTCAAAGTGATAATATATATCAAAGTTAAAGGATACAGCTCATCATTTTTTAAACAATGCATATATATTCATATTGTCACACTATTACTGGCATGCTTAACAGAAAAGAACAAAGAGGGTTAGGGATGTAGCTCAGTGCTTGCATATCATGCACAAGGATCTAGGTTTGATCCCAGCACTGAAAAGAAAAAGGAGAAGAAGAAAAGAATAGACTCATTATGAAGGTAATTTTTAAAGTATCCTCCTCCTTATTTAAATAACATGAAAGTGGGGGCTAGGGATATAGCTCAGTTGTAGAGTACTTGCCTAGCATGCACAAGGCCCTGGGTTCAATTCCTAGCACTACATAGATAGATAGACAGATAGATAAAATGAAAGTAAGTTTTGTAAGATATCAAGTACTCTTTTCCATCTCATGTCAAACCCAGGAACCCTATCAAATCTGGGGTGAATTAACTACAGAAATCCAGATTAGGAAGGTGCAAGAGTAACCTTTACTCCTTTTCCTCATAAGAATAATGATTAAAATGTTACTTCTGAATAAAAACTGCTGTTTTCCCCTTTGAAGAACAACTGCAAATGGTAAAACAGTTACCAAAAAAATCAAGGGCAGAAATTTCTAGAGCCAGTAGAAAACACAATAGATTTCTGCATGGGGTGGGGCAGGCAAGGATTCTTTTTTGGTCACATTGTTTTCTCAAAATGAACACATTGACCTCAACATCATTACACTTGCCTTCTAGAAGGGCAGTCAGTAACACTCCTGGAAGCTTCCAGGAGAAGCAGAGGGGGCTGGAGCTATGTGTAGATGCATGGGTGGTAGGTGGGGCTGTTGGTGGAAGGTGCTTTGTGCAACTTAAGTTTTGCCACTGATATATTTTTAGAAATAAAGCAATGTGTTGAAAGAAAATGAAGCAAGAAATCAGTTCTGCTCTTAAAATTGAAGGCCTCCCCCCATTTAATGCTAGCTTTATCTGACTATAACTTGACTGGAAGCAGATAATCAATTTGTACTTTCCTTCCAAATCATCTAATAATTAGGCCCACCTAATGATCCCTGCACTGGTGCAAACAACACTGTAATTATCAGGTTGTCACAGGCAGGATGGAGACAGTCAAGGGACAAAGAAAGCAAACCTTCACAATAATGCCATCCACAATGCCCCAGATACTTGGAGCTGAGTGATGTCATAGGCCAAAAAGAAGCTTGTAGAGTAAAAATATTTTGATATTATTGCTACCTTTTGAAGTCTCCTGGTAATTGTTTGAAACCAGAAGAAGGGATGGGGCAGGAATAAGTAGGCACCAGGAGAGTTGCACGACTGTCTGTAAACTGAAGCACTAAAAAGTTTCCAAGCAAAGATTACTTGGGGAAAAGAAATGTCTTTACTATAATAAAACATTTTATTGTAATTTTAGAAGGAAGAAATTCGCAGCAGTGCCTCAGAACTCCTGGGGAAAAAAAAGACTTCTAACAAATTATTCTCTTGTACTCATTGTTCCATTTTAAAAAGCTATAATTGCTATAAACTAAAGGCAATGAAAGATCCTCTGACAAAGTACAGTATTGTGGAGTACTATTATAGAAGCAACTTTGTTCACAATTTAACATATATTAGTAACTCTACATATCTACTGAAATTATTAGATTTACTTTTTTTTTTTTTTTTGGTTCTTTATCACTGGGCCATACCCTCAGTCCTTTTTGTTTGAGGAAGATTTCACTAAGTTGCTGAGGCTGGCCTTGAACTTAAAATCCTCCTGCCTCAGTTTCCCAAGTGGTTGAGATAACAAGCATGTGCAACTGCACCTGGCTAGATTCACAAGAGAATTATTTGTGGTCTGTAAATATTAAAAGCTGTAGGCCCAGTAAATCATAACTAAAATATCTCTCCTTAAAAATATTTCTGAGTATCCTATGTTGCCTCTCTTATTCCGGCTATGGACAAAGGTGAGCAGGATTAAGGATGAAATTGAACTTAACCTTGTATGTCTGCTGACCACTGAGCTTCCTAAGAACTGCTTTTACTCTCCTGCCTTGCATGGCACACCAAATGAATATAAACAGAACAAGTAAGAAAATGAAAGTTACTGCTATACTTTCTACAGACTAACTGGAAATATCCTGAGAGATGTTTAGCCTTTAAAAAAAGCTGACTATGCTCCTATATTTATAAAATTCCTTATCACAACAAATGAAGACTAGAATTCAGCAGCTCTGTTCTGAAGAAAGGAAAATTAATTCTAATTGACAATCAGAAGGTATACTGTGTATATGAAAATCAATACAGAAATATTTTATTGTGAGCTGGTGGTGTAGCTCAGTGGTATTAGCATGCTTTAGGCCTTGGGTTCGTTCAGTCCCTAGCACCAAACGCAGATAGTATTTCTGAGTGTCTCTCTTATGCTTGGCACTATTGTAGTAATCAGAGATTCCAGAACTAATATGCTGTCACATTCTTGGTGAAAACAGACGTCTCTTAAATATATTACAAACAGATCAGTGTAAACAGTGGTCTGTCAACAGTATTGTTAAAATTCATTTTCTAGAGTGAGAGTCTAAGTCAATAAAACTTATGCCATAGTCACATATTTTCCCTGGATAATTAATTGGAGGATTCTGTAAGGGTAATTGTGTCACTACCATTACATTTTTAAAATTCAGGTACTGTTAGTAACCAAACTTTCACCAGGTCTTTTTTCGGTGGGAAGGAGGGAGCATCAGAGATTTTACCCCCAGGGATGCTTAACCACTAAGCTATATCCTCAGCTCTTTTTTATTTTGAGACAGGGTCTTGCAAAATTGCTTACAGCCTTGCTAAGTTGCTGAGGCTGGTTTTGAACTCATGATAGTTTCGAATTTTCATAGTTAAGTGACAGATTCGAATCTACTGGCAGGAGATAGTCAAGTCAATTATACTTCCTCCAAATTCTCTTAACACATTAGTCTGTATCACAGACATGTACTTGATTTTAAAAGGCTGCTGCTGCTACTTATATTTTAAATAATTTTTTAAATATTTTGATGGATATTGATGGGCCTTTATTCATTTATTTATATGTAGTGCTAAGAATTGAACCCAGTGCCTCACACATGCTAGGCAAGTGCTCTACCATTGAGCTACAACTCCAATCCCTGCTGCTTATTTTTTGAAGGGTGCTGGGGATGGAACCCAGAACCTCTCACATGCTAACCATGTGCTCTACCTGTGCTCTACCACTGAGCTACACACCCCTATCCCCAAGGGTACCTTTGTTTTATCCCAAATAGGATATGAGCTTTTCAGAGGAGGTTACTTCATCTTCTACTTCACTGGAACCTCAAAATGGCATGCGGAAGTGGGTATGAGACTGGCTTTAAAAAGTATTTGGCTTTGCACTGATTAGGTTACTCAGTGTGGTTTCTTGTAGAATACTTGGTAAGCACAAGCTAACTTTTGTTTTATCCAACAATTTTTTTTTTGCCTCTGGAAGGAGCCTGTAATTCCCTTCCTCAAACAACCAATCTATCTTTGCCCAGCAGCCATTTCCTAGGTAACCAATCCAGCCAAATAAAAGTCTTATAAACAATAGAAAAAAGGAAACCAAACTAGGAACCCACCCCACAACCACACGTGCCTCACAGGATCGCACCTGTGTATCATCACACACAAAAGGGAAAGTCATAATGAGTCATTAAGTGGGGCATTTTAACTAAAGTGGCTTTTGACACTCATCATCTATAGTAGACACTGCTGAAAGGACTTAGCACAGCCAGTCTAAGCATGCCTGCTGGCACAGTGAGAATGATTATAAGGCATGTTATCAGTGCATGAAAAGCAGTGTCACAGAAAATCTGTAACCTAGGGATTATAAAGCAGAAGCATATGCCTACTAGAACCTGTCAAGGGCAAATCCTGTGAAGGACTTGCCAACCTGGCCACAGAGGGATTTCCCATATAGGGTTGGACCCAAGCAAAAGGGATGAAGTTAAAATTTGTGATTGGGTTCAGGGTATAGCTCAGCAACACAGCGTGTGTTCAGTGTTCAGCATGCTCGAAGCCCTAGGTTCATCCCCAGCACCAAAATTTAAAAAATTAAAAAATAATAAAATTACAATTGTCTTCTCTCATGTCTCCTTTAAGTTTTCCCACTACTCAGTGTTCTATTCCTCGCAGGAGCTCCCTGTCCGTTCTATGTTTTATGATCTGATCTGCCCAATCCCTGCCACTAATGGGGATCTCTGGCTCTACCTTCTCTTGGCAGATATAAAAATCTTTTCTTGGCAAGCTATCTTGTCGCTTACACAGACCAAACAAATGCTTTACCACAAATGTCTTAATGATTGATAAACGCTTAACATCCTGCCCCTCCCAAGAGCAATGGTATTTAAGCAAGGGACGGTACTCCAATTTAACAGAAATTATAAAGTTTCATGTTGTAGTGACAGTTTGGCTGAAGAATCAGCAGAATTGGGGACAGGAGAGGATAGGAGACTTTGAGTGACTAGATGCAGAAGCACAGA